CCGGAATTTCCAGATAATCATCACGAGGGTGACGCACTTCTGGAATTTCTGGAATTTCTGGAATTTAAAAGTGCGTTTCAGCGTGTGATTTGGGTGGCACGAGGAATCGTTTGAGCATCGAGCCCGATCGATGGTGGTGCTCGATCTGGATAATGGTCATCATCGTCGAGGGAGTGGAGGATGGGTGTGTTATGTGCGACAACACGAGCTGTACAGGCCGACGAGCATTGCAAGGATAAAGCCTCCAGCGGATCGTCCACTACTGGGCTTTGATAATCATTTATCAATCAGTCGATGAGAGTGAGTGAGTGATTGATTGGTGGTAATGTCGTCTATGTGTTCTTATGGTGGTGGCATTATTTGCTCATTTCCTCTTGCTCGTACCTCATGAATGAATCAAGCGCTCGTGCGCATGGCGAGAAGAGTGGGGGAATTGTCGAAAAGATCATTCACTCGCTCGCTCGCTCCCTCCCTCGCGCATCGCATAGGACCTTCAGTCATAGACGGACGGATGGATTGATTCAACCACCGATGTCAAAGTTGTGGTATTCATATCGAACCTATCATATCAGAACAACAATCAAATCGCTCGCAGAATTTGTGCATCGTGCATTTCAAGAAGAAATTTCAAATAACCCTAAGAACGGCTTGACGACTCTGGCGCACGGACGAACTCAACGAAGGCGAGCAAAAACTAGTGACCACGAAAGGCTACATCCTAGAGATGCGTGCAGCTTCTTCAATATTCGGGAACCCAGAATGAATGAATGAATGAACGAATTTCCAGAGCGTATCAATGGGGAGATCCACTACAAGCATCATGAGCGCAAGACATCAGGCTTTGAGAAGGGCGTAAAGTCGAGGAATGAGTTCCAGCGCATCGTGTCGAAGTGAAGGAACCGCAATGTCCGAAAGGTTGTCATGAAGCGAGCATGCGCTCGATGGCCTCGAGGAAGTTAAGCACCTACGAGCTGATGGAGAGCCGAATAGAAAATGGCGATGGCGATGGCGAGCGATGCGATGCCATGTCCGAGGCCTCAATCTGATCGGGGATTTGGTGTTTATGTTGTCGGCTCACGAGGCCGAATTGTCAACTTCTTGTAACGAAGGGGTCTCGATATAAGAGTCGCCCGAGCTCGATGGAGTGCTCTACCCGTCGGCGGGGCCCACCGCATGCAGAATGTTCTCCTAGCGAGGGTGGACCTCGTTGTTTGTCGTGGCCGCCGTTCTGTACTGTGCCACCAGCGTGGTTAGTCAAACCTTAACCCGCAGGCGTACTGCGCACTCTGCAACCCTCGGTTGTCCTAAGCCAGGGTAGGACTGACTGAGCCCCAGGTTCCGTGGACTCCTTCCTCCCCCGTTTCTTCCTTCGGTCCTGGAACGAAGGCGCGGATTCTGAGCCCAAGTCGCGATAAGTTCAGGGCCTCCAGCTCGGACCCGGTGGCGGCCCACTTGCAGATGGCGCTCATTGGCCGCAAGACCGAGGCGCCTGGCCTGGCGCTGCCCGCGACGTCGGGCCTCAGTCGCGGCAGCCGAGGCAGCGGACGGACGCCGTAAGCCCGAGCTTACCTCACTCGGACGTCGGGGGCTTCTGTCGCAGACGATGCCGCCGTCGACACGGTGACTATGACTACGAACTCAGAGATCGCCACTTTGCCACTCGGATGTCGCTTCGTTTTTTCTTTCGCCTTTTCCTCACCGTCGTTTACCCCTTTCCCGCTTGGGGGATGGGGGTGGGGGTACTCCCCCAGCCCCTCCTGGAACGGGTGTACAATCAGACCCCAATAGGGCCTGTGCAGATCGCCCCAAAAGTTGGATGGATGGACTTTCGCAGTAGCCTCCTTCTCGCCTGCTCAAAAGTACACTGATTCACTTGGTTCTTTGATTTGATGGATTTCTTTTTTTTTATTCTGCGAGTGAACACAAAACATCACATGATGTCATCACTGGACTGAGTTTAATTGAAGTTCAGAATGGTGGAATCATGGGTGACTATTAGGGAATTTTTCTTGGTGAGGTTGAACGGCATTTTCAGGGATATCCCACCTACAAATTGAATAATTTAGAGAGAGTCTAATCCAGGGATCTTATTTATTCTGTGCGAGAGGACGTCGTGTAGTACGAATATTTTTTTTATATCAATGAATATCGAACCAGTCTTGTGCCTTGTATAGTCCAGGGAATGACCCGGTCGAGTACTAAATAATACTTCCGCAGACTTTAATTTATTGTACGTAAGGTTCTGGGTTTCTCAAAGGAAAACATTTGTTAAGTTCTGGAGAAGAGGCAATAGGCTCGCTGGAATACCTTTCGTGAAACGAGAAGTAAGTATTGGGGATGAGGATATTCACGTTCCAATCAGGCATATCCGGTTCAGGACATTGAACTCTGGACCCATGGAGAAGGACTTTGACAAACAAGCTTTTACGCTATAGACTGCAGTCACATAGATTTTCCATTTGCGACTTTTCTTAAGTCTTTTCCTAAGGGTAAAAATTGAGGCCTAATTATTTCATGCGAGACCTTTGAAATCATAAGGTGGTAAGGTATGTCCCTTTGGTCTTTTAGAACTTCTTGCGTGTTGGAGCCTTGCTCTTGCTTCTGACCCCGCAACCTTTTGAAGGCTCTTGTGCAGCTCTTCGTTTTTTAAACGTCCTGTACCAAAAAAAAATTTGCACGTGGTCCAGAAAAGAATACAGTAACTCGATTCGGTGACAGAATTATCTGTATAACATATAAGTGAATGTATTTTTCAGCGTTTTTACAGAATATATCCGAAGACTTAGACGGGAGGTCGGGCTGATGCCCCATCGTGAAGCTCAAGGAAACACATCAACAAAAATTAGTAGCCATGACAGGAGACCCCAGGAAGGCTACCTCCAGCCAGACTAATGAGCCCATCGATTGTGGCCAAACAAGCACTCGAAATTCGTCATGAGAACCACGTAAACATGAAGATTCAATTTAAGTGCTTCCGTGTGGATTCTCTGTGGGTTGATGACCTCAATTTATTGCAGCATACTTCTACAGCATGCACTTTAATCCTGAGTACTGAAGATATAAGTTTTGAGTGGACAACCCCTACTGATGGAACCTTTGGCACCTGAATGACCATGTTGTACTTCACCTTCTGATTCGCTCTTGGTCTACACATGTCGACCTTCCAAGGTTAACTAGAAACGAAGAGGTCGCTTTGAATCTACACCCCAAGTCATGGCTGGCAAAACCATGCAATGAATTACCCTCGAGAGTCAAAGAAAAGAATGTTCACTAGCTTGCCATTGTTCATTGTGTTATTGTTGAGGTACTTCCATGCAATTCTACAGTTTCAACGCAAAGCATAAGCTTCGTTGCGTTATACTATGTAGCTAAATTTAATACATCTGGACATTCCTTGAACTATGAAGACTCATTTGAGTTTGTGCAAGAATGTAACCTCATGGATCTGTTTGCCCACGAACTTGCACGTCATATGCAATGGTCCATGTGAATCATCGTTCATTCGTAATAATACCAATAGTCATCCATCATCTAGTATTGGACGCAGCGTTTGTTGTAAAACTACTTCACATGGAGCAATTGTTGGTATGGTTTGTGCTAGTATATCGAGAAAATCATTCAAATGTAGGGTAAGAAAATCAATCAAACACAATCAATGAGTAAACCATAGTGATAAGTAGAGAATTGGTCCCATTGTTTGTGTTATCTATCAGCCATAATTTTGATAAATTTTGAACTATTTATATTATTTTTCTGTAATTTATCTTAGATAGTACATATTGATTTCTTTACCTAGAACATTTATTTATAAAACCCAAAGGATAATAATCAACTGATGACTTTAAGGCAATAGTTTGATCTGTTTGGAACATATATACGAGAGTCGATAGCACATACTTCCCACTGGGAAAGTATTGGATCTAGCGCTAGCCTAGGACTTAGGTCACATCCCAAAAATACTTGAACGGATCTTCCATCTCTTTGGCTTCATCAGTGGGATTTCTCGTGTGAAAGTAAAGGAAAAATGTGAGATGACGATATCTCGAGAAGCGTAAGCAGGCGAGAACGGGTGTCAGCCGATGTTGGCTTGTCGGTTTTCTCTGGAGAACGTAGTGGAAGAATGTAGTCTTACGATCCGAGGAAAGTCGGAGCCTAGCACCTTGCCACACTTTTGCCCCCTTCAGGGTCCTCCCTTCCTTAGTCCCCGCCCCTGCCCCTGCCCCCATCACGAATACTCCTCACGGGTCAGAACGGGTGTCGGCCCGTGAGGCGGAGAGAGGGAGGGGGGGGAGGGAGGGGGCTGGGGGAGCATAAAGAGGCCCTGACAAAGCGAATCGAGGAACTCATCATTGAGAGAAGCTCGCCCGCTGGCGGAGCCCCGGCCCCACCGCCGTCGAGATAAGTGACATAGATTTGACGTCGCCGTCGGGGGCTGGGGCTGGGGATACAGCAGTCGTCGTCGTCGTCGTCGTCCAGGGAACCTGGAGGGCAGGCAGAACTCAGCGAGTCCTGGCTGTCACCCCCGGAGCTCAGGTGGATTTACAGCTGCCGGAGTACGAGCCCCTCCCCCTGCCCCCTCCTCACCCCCTTCCCCCTGCCCCGATGGCAAGCGCCATGCTCTGTCATAGCATAGCATGCCATGCCATGCCATGACATTGGACCCATCGTGGGCTGCAAACTTACCGAGGGGCAAAAGGCGGATTGTGAGGTGCGAGGGAGCCCGGCAGGGAATCAACACCCGCGCTGCATGCCCGAAATTGCGGCTGCCGAGAGGCGCCTCGACGTCCCGATACTCCTCCTCTGCGGACTCCGATCCAAGTAACCGCAGAAGCTTCCGAGAATTTACTTCATTCGTAAGGAATCATACTTGGGCCTGCGACCTCGGACAGCAGACGAGAGGAGAGAGGGGCAGGGCAGCCCCCGTCGCCGAGCCCTCCGGGGCAGCAGCCTCAGGGGCTGGGCCAGAGTACATCCCCCGAGCAGCGACGCTGCAGCAGACTTGTGTTTCGTGATTCCCAGCGGCGAGGCCAGAGCGTTCCCCCACTTGTGACCGGCAGCAGACGCTCCGCGCGAGGTACCGGTCTTCTTCCTGGCTGCAAGCCCCCTCGTAATGTCGCGCGTGTGATCGTTGCAGCTCATCTTTGCTTCCTGAGTGCCAGCGCCAGCGCCAGCGCTTCCCACTGCGTTCGAGCGAGCGAGCGAGAGAGAGAGAGAGAGGACGTCGAAGAAGGTCGAAGGGAGAAGAAGGGGGCAGGGACTGGGGCTGGGGTTGGGGTTGGGCCTGTGAAGCGAGGGGTTCTCGGGGGAGCGTATGGTGCGGGGAGGAGAGCGGGAGGTCGAGGAGTTCGGGGGCTGAGCTTGTCCGCTTCACCGTGGCTGGGCAGAGGGCGCGGCGCTATTTTCACGAGCTCGGAAAACCTCCGAACGAATGCGCGGGGCTGGGCGACAGGCGCAAGTTTGACAGCGCGCGACGGGGTTGCCGATGGCGGAAGGGGAATTGTGAGTCTTGCTTGCCTTGGCTCGTAAGAGCAAAGGAGCATCAGCATCACCAGAAAGACGAGCCCGACGACGACGCCGAGGCCGAGGCCGACGACGACGACGACGACGACGACGACGAGCAGCGCCATCATCATCATCATCATCGCCACCTCCACCGCTCGAAGAGCCTTAATCAGCAGCAGCAGTGTTTTTGCGGGCCTCTGCGCAAGAGAGGAGGTGAGGTGCAGGGAAACGACCGAGCGGGGGAATGGTGGGAGTGGGAGTGGGAGTGGGAGGAGCAGCAGCAGCAGCAGCAGCAGCAACAGGTGTTGTTGTCGTCGTCGGTTCGGGCGTTAATGGGGTTGGTGGTGGAGGAGGAGGAGGAGGGGCTGCGTTGAGCGGAGGCGGGAGTGATGGAGGAGCAGGAGAGGAGAAAGTTCGAAATCCGCGATGGATGATGCACGAGACGGTGGTGTTGGTGGCAGCGAAGAGGAAGCACGACGAGGAGGCGGGCGATGAGTACGTGCCGGCGCACAAGAAGTGGGGAGCGATTGCGGTCGATGTCAAGGAGAAAGGGGTGGACAGGGACGCCAGGCAATGCCGCAAAAGATGGAGCAACCTCTACCAAGATTATCGAAGAATCCGCGACTGGTTGCGCAAGAGCGGCGTGGAGCCCTACTGGACCATGCGCCATGACAAGCGCCGCGACAACAAGCTCCCCGGGAGTTTTGACCCTGAGGTTTACGCGGATATGGATGCCTTTCTGTCCAAGAAGCGCGGCATCACTCCCCGTGCCGCTTCTGATTCCGCCCAGCCCATCCACGACGAGGGCCTGGGCTCCGAAATTGAGCAAGACCACGAAGGTCACGATGCCGCCGATGTTGGCAGCGGTGATGGCAGCTCTGCTCCCGGAGGCTCAGGTGCGCTTTCGTCTCTCTTCTTGCATCTCTCGTACCAATTGTCCAGCAGGTCGGCCTCGGGTGTCAGTTTCAGGGCCCAGGCATTTCTCAACCTTATCCCCTGTCGCCATAATCTTTAGTCTTAGCTCCTTCGCCACACGCAAAATCAAGCGCACTCTCTGTCGGCCAATGTCCGCAACCTTTTTGTCGAAATCGTCCTTCGTTGTCTCACTGCACGGTCATGCAGGCACGACGTTGATGCATGGGCGCTCGTCTGCGTACATTTCTGGGCTCTCGGGCCATCGATTTTCTGGTCTGAAATCAGATAATCTCCAGCCCATTAGCGATCAGAGTGTGTGGCCTCGCCTGTGCAAACCTTGAAAACCGTGTAGTTCATGGAGGCTGGAATTTGAGCCTGCTGCCTTAGGCTCGGCGAAGATAAGCTCGCCCCTGATTTTGCCGAAATCGTTCTCGTTGTGTTCGAGGCCGTCGTGTGGTTTGGGTGTAGATAATGTTTAATGGAGAGTGGTTTGGTGTGCTTGGGGAATCGAGAAAGGGTAGAAATTGTAGGAGCGAGCGATTCTGAAGTGTGGTGGTGACATGAACAGATAAAGAGCAGCCGACGGACTCGGCGGGAGATGACAGAAAGAAGCGCAATTCGAAGTGGACGAAGCACGAGACGGTGGTGCTGCTGGTGGGCAAGACCAAGTACGACTGCAAGGCCAAAGAAACGACGGCGAGCTCCAAGGCGGTGCGGTCGGACGAGAAATGGGACAGCATCTCGGCCTACTGTAAAGCGAATGGCGTGGACCGAGACGCGCAGCAATGTCGCAAGAGGTGGAGCAATCTGCACAACGGCGACTACAAGAAAATCCGGGACTGGCAGAAGAAGAATGTGGAGTCGTACTGGTCCATGAAGAGCGAGAAGCGACGGCAGAACAAATTGCCCGGCTTCTTCGACCAGCAGGTGTTCGCCGTCATGGACGCCTTCTGCACGAAGAAGGCGAATGGCGAGCTCGACGGCGCTCGATTTGCCAACCTCACGGCTGTCGAGGACCTCTTGCTCTCGGAGGTCGAGCAAGATCACGAGGAACCGAGCGCTCCGGACGGTGGACGCATTTGTAGCGCCCCTGCCCCCGAATCAGGTCAGCAGGCGCATCGGAACATTTCTCTTTTCCTTGTCTCATAATTAACCCCCGAATCCGATCGCTCGCTGCTCGCAATCCCATGCACTTGACGAAAGAAGAAGCGAATCTTCTTTCCTGCTCGAACGGGATGGACAGAGGGGCACAATGCTGAAGTGCACACCTTTGTCTCACACCGAGAATGTCGTTCTGTGAGTCGAGGGCTTTGCGATTCTAGGCTTCTTCCAGACCATGACCTCGAAGATCGAAAGCTACCCGAAGGGTTAGGATGGGTTTCCTGTCTGAGGGAAGTTGTTCGTGCTATGGATCTCAGAGCAGGCCTCTGATCGTGTGCTTGTCTGTGTGTGTGTGTGTGTGGCAGGAACTCTGTCGTGCAGAGTGGAGCAAGCAGGGGTGGCGTCCGTGGGGGCATCAGTGGGGCGCAAGAAGAGGAAGCGGATGCCGAATGGCGTCGAAGTGGACGAGCACAAGGATCACAAGGACCATCTCACCGCGATTTTGGAGAGCAGCGGCAAGGCCATGCAGGTGGCGCTGACGGAGAACATCCAAGCTCAGATTGAAGCCCAGAAACGCAACTGCGAATTGGACCGCAACCAGAGAAAGCAGCAGGGAGACAATCTCGTCGGCGTGCTAAGCAAACTGGCGGAGGCAATGGCTAAGATAGCGGAGAAACTGTAGATACATGTCCACTCCCCCCCCATTCCCATCCCCTCGCTTCCTCGCCCTCGCCCTCGCCCGCTCCCTCGCTCGTGCCCTCGTTCCAGTCCCCTTTTGTAGAGTATCCATGTGTTTTACTTGTATCATATTCTGCCATACTCCCATACACAGTCAGTGTCAGTGTCAGTGCTAAGATTAGATTAGATTAAACGTAGCTAGCTGCTCGACTTACGTAATCCGCTGACCCCTTCCCCGATCCCTCGGTGCTACGATTGTATTTTAGACATCGCTCTTTGCAGGTGTCAGATCATGATGCCGTATGTAAAATGTTGAGTTTTTGATCCGCCCGCCCGCCCCCAAGTCACTCCGGGCCTGCTGGCCACTTCTACGAAGAGGTGGAGGACGATGGCTCGAGTGGCAACCGACCGACCGACCGACCCACGCGGGAGTGCAACCGCACGACTCATCCGTCTCCCGCTGTACATACTCCGTGTATCTCATCAAAAATTACCCCGCTTCATCATTCAATCCGAGTTCCCTCTCGTTGTACCGGATTCGTTCCGATTGTCATGATTTTCTTCTCGTTTCTGTCTATGATCTCGATGCAATGCACGTCTCGTCTCGTCTCGTCTCATGTCATCTTATTTCATTTGTGGCTCGTGCTTGGAATGATTGGCGGATTGATGGATCGAGTGGGAATCTGACTCTTTCAGACATGCTGTGATCCGTCTTCTCGTGTGTCTCCACAATCCGCCCGTGGCTCCTAAGCTGCTGCCCCACGAAGAGGAACGACAGCAGACTCGATCTCATCCAGATGTTACCCAGCTCACTCACGCCGAACCCACAAGACACTCCGATGAAATGTCCTCAGCACCATCTTCGCAGCTCCAAGGGCAGGACCGAGCTCTACGTCCAGTCCCCTGGCCTGGCGTCCCCCACTGCATCCCTGCCTGCCTCTCTCCCAGCAAGCCCGGGGAACAGGGTCGACTGTGCGCTGGAGATATGCATCGCATCAGCTGCTGCTGTCGGGAAGGAAGGATGGCAAGCAAGGAAGCAAGGAAGCAAGGCCGGGGCTGCCATAGCTGGACGACACGCTGGGTCAACTGGTGGCAGGAACATTTGTTGACCTTGCTTTCCTTCACGCCTTGCCCATGTCCTTGACCGGAGGAGGGAGGGCGAGGCAGAGGCGGATTCGCCCGTGCTCCTGCCGTGCCTTGCTGCTGCGCTCGATGCCCATGGCCTTCCTCTGTGGATAGATAGAAAGAGTGCCAAGCTCGCAAGGGCCCATTCCCTCCCCTCCCCTCCCCTCCCCTCCCCTCGCCATGACGACAATCCCAACGACGAAATCGTCGGAGTGCCAACTCCATCTTTCTGGGGTGTGCAGTAAGAAATCTATCGGTCCCGGCTCTGCCTTTCCAGATCATACGGGTCGGACGGAAGCGCAGATATCTCAGCGATCGATCAGGGATTAGGAATGAGGACTCGAATCCGATCGTCGATCCGAGGCCACATCTCCTCCTTTCGCTGAATGAAGCGAAGTGAAGTGAAGTCAGGACTTCTCTGAAGAGGGGGGCGGGCGTCCGGTCTGGTCCGGACAGCATGTTGTACACTCACCGGTAGGTTCTACCCCTCGGTCTGCCTACGAAGACTCGATTCGTTGCACCTCGGCCTCCTCCTCCTCCTCCCCCTTCTGCGGGCTGTCTGACCGGCCGCACGACAGTGTCAGGACTGCCCCCGTTCCCACGGATCCAGCCATCTATCCATCCGTCCGTCCGTCCGTCCGGCCGGCCGTCCGTCTCTGGGAAGACCGGCAGGGCCGAGCGCGGCTGCCCGGGACGCGTGCGGCCGGTTGCCTGTCAGAGCCTGTCGCGTCGTGTAGGGGCCCTCCCGCACCGCGGTGGCTTAGCGAAGAAGCCTCACGTGCTTCACCGGCTGGGAGGGGAGGGGAGCCCGACCACGAGGACGCCTCGGACCTCGCTGGAAGTGGCTCTGCCCGACGACGATGCGTCGCTCCTTGCGTCGGTATGCCGCCGCACGCAGTAGGGCAGCCCGCGCCACTGCCCGACTTCTCGGTCGGTACGTGGTAGATCGCACCTACCACGCTCGCGCTGTACGATGGCGTATCCCCTGGCAAGTTCTGCTGCATGGGGTACCAGGGGGGCTGGCCCAGCCCCACCCCCCTGGGGTCTCCAAGCCCTTCCGTCACTAGCCCAGCCGACATAGTGCTAAGCCCCGACCTCACCCTCTGGCGCACGCGACTGTCAGTACTACGAGACGACATTCTCCTCGCCTTCTGCTTCGCTTGGTTTCTCTTCCAATGATTCCTCTTCTAGCCCACATCTCGATTCTAATCCTTGCATTGTCGACACCTTGACCCATCGAGACGAGCTCACTGGCTTAAAGTCTGGACAATCCCGGTACAGATTTCACTCGGTGAGCACGAGACCATTGACTGAAGGATAAAATTATTTCGCAAAGACAGTGCAGTTGGCATTCGATGAATCTTGCTTCAAAAAAAGCTCTCGAGACTCTTTCCCGATGGCCACGCAAGAAGGCTTGGTGGAGTATTCGTCGCGACTTTCATCTCGAGGCTCACAATTAGTGTCAGCAGGAGAAGGGTTCGAGCTTCGGCATGTGCAAGGCTTGCGGCCAGGAGTTGTGTGCGGTTCATGGATGGAAGGATATGACCGCGGCGGGTCGGCAATGGCTGGAATATGGGAAAGGTCGAGTTTGAGAAATCGATCATTCTGCGGATTGATAATGAGGCTCCTGCACCCTCCTGCTCGCTGGCTGGGTTCCATGAAATCCTCGAGCACGCCTCCGGGAAGTGTCATCAGCACATGGAAGGAGAGGAGAACTCGGACAGATGCTGGTTGAGGGCACTTGTGTCAATCCATCTTCAGAATTCTGTGCCCATGTCATGCCACGGTCTTACGCTGTGGGGAAGCAGCATTCTTAGCTCAAGGGCCCCCGCCAGTTTTTAAAGAAACGGCTGATGCTGCTCCTTCGTCCTTTGAGTTTGGCATGTGGAGCTGAATTCTGAATCCATCTCTTGCTCATTTACTCTTTGACTCATGCAGCGGCCGGCTTTGGGATTTCACAAATCCCAAGCTCGGGCTCGAGCTCGAGCTTGGAGCCTTTGACACGACCAGGCTGGGAGAATGGTTTCGGTCGCTGTCCACTGTGATGTGATACCGTCGTGAGCAATGAAGTTGCCGGCCTGTGCTTTAATCCCCTCCGAAATTCGCTCTTCACTTGAAGGACTGGCGAGGAAGTTGACTGACTATCAACGACGAAGAAATCGGTTCCACTTCTCGAGGAGGAAGTGTCTCCACGAGACCAGCAGCCAGTTCTCTGAACACGACTTTGGGCTGCTGCCAGCTCTAGTAATTGTGGTGCTTGCAATACCGTCGATCGAGAAGCAGCAGACGTTTGCAAGTCTTCCTTTCTCCCGAACAAAGATGAGCATGGTGGAGACTATATTGGAGTCCACGATGTGAGAGGTAGTGGAATGGCACACGCCGGGGAAAAGACAATGATGGTGCCCGAGTGGCCACCTGCAGCAGTATGCATGCTTGCAAGCTAGCCCGGGGAGATTGGCATCGTGGTCAGCGAACTGTGGAAGAGATTCTTCGTCTCCCTTCGGCTCCCTTCGGCACAAGGATCGAGACACGGATACAGCTGCAGCAGTGGCCCATTGACACCTTGTGCTGAATCCATGATCTAAAGCAATGACGACACCGACGGATAGCACTCTGCCCCTAGCTGAATGCTGCTGCCATCGGCGACGATGGAGACAGATTGCGTCTCGCTGTACAGGAGCTGATGAGCTCGACATGATATGCATTGGCAAGGATGAATCGTCACGCAGGAGAGTCAAACAAGCTTTCGACTCCTTGGAAACGAACAATCGAGGACACGAAACGGAGAGTCGAAGCGACGGGCATTCATCTCTTCATCTCTTCATCTCTTCTGCTCGATCGTCTAGTGGGACCCATCGTCCAACTATTCTCTAGTCTGAAGCTCATCGCAGAGGTAGACAAAGCAGTCGACAGATGAGCTTGAATTTTTGAGATTCATCGGGGCCTTTGCGCTTCTCGCCAAAATGATAGCCGGTGATCCCTCTCCATCTTCCCTGCCATTCGTTCTGTTCCACTACACCGCCGGGAAGCTATCAATCATCATCAGATGACTGAGCACCTGAGCTCAGTGAGGTGCTCACAAAGTGACCACAGCGTGGTCCCAGCCCCAGCTCCAGCTCCAGCCCGTACTGGCATGGGAGAATGAATCTGCCCATAGGTGCACTCAGGTGGCAAGTGTCCACCATCCTCACGACATGGATCTTAGCTTTGGCATCAGCTACATCCATCTTTCTGTGGCAGAAACCTGGAGGCTCCACTCTTCCCTGGGCTAGCAGATTACACCAGAGAATGAGACTGACAGACAGAGCGAGGTACATGTGTCTTACTGTCACTACCACCTCTCGAGGAGGGCTGCTCATGTAACTACTTCCAGCAGCAGTTGCAAGTACGTTGCTTGCCTCGTGGACCCAAGACATTCAAGCTCAGGAGGAACATGTTTCTCACCTGGGGCTAGCTGAAGCCCGTCAGCAAGTGGAGGAGCTCCATTCCTAAAATGCACGAGTGCCTCGAACTCGTTGGGATTCACGATTGTACTTGCGAGGCGTACATTTGTTCGCTGGGAGTAATCATTTATTCCAAAAGTAGGAGCGCCTCATGGACACGCTGAGAAGAGCGAGGCGGAAGTGGACGTCAGATCCCATGCTGAAAAAGACTGCTCTCCAATTCTCATCATCATTGCAACACAGCCCACGCAGTTCTATTATAGTGAATCTCACGTCTCGTGCAGCGGAATGTTGACGCCAAGTCTTATCACCCTTCCCGTTCACAGAAACCAACAAAACTTTTATCTGAACCGTTCCCCTCGTCACGCCTTTCCAGTGCATTGTGTCTAATCCCGAGAAAACTCACACGCTATAACATCGATTCTCGCAAGCAGTGAAACAACTTTCACCCACAGCTTCGGAGGGTAAAATTCGATGTCAGATTTTACGGTGTGCGAGATACTTACTTTGCCGGAGTCGGATGAAGTTAAGGACGTGTTTGTAATGGAAGCAAAGAACCCAAATGCAGGAATCTGTCACTCCTTAGGCAACGGGCTTCGATTGTACCAGTCGTCTCTCTTATGAGGAATGAAGGGTCACAGATTCGAGGTTACGTCCATGAAGCCCTTTACACGGGAACACGTGAGAGAGAGGCAGTACGTAAAACACATCACGCTCAGTAAAGACAGTCCTTGTCCAGAGTTGCAGATTTATGACAGACCAAGAAGCGGACACAAAACGCTACAGCAACACACTTCTCGTTCCTTTACTTAACTTCAGAAATGCGAGCAACATTTCAGGTTCTTTCAGATGCTTAACACAGTAAACGTCCGAAGAAACTCTGCTAAGAACCCGAAGGTGACGGAGGTCACAACAGCCGGCCGTCATGACTTCTATCTGCTGTCTATCCATGTCAGAGAAGATAACATTCTACATACGAAAACAGGTACGGCTGGACATACACGAGAAAACTGAAACGAAACGAAGGGAGCGGACCAACTGTGTGGAAAGCCTTGAGAAGATCGAAATAATCAGACAGAGCATAATGAACCGCTGGAGCAAAAAAAGATCTGGGATCGAGGTGATTCGTCTGAGTTGACAGCGTATGGAAAGAAAAATGAACACAAAGTCCAACGAGGGAATTCTTACTAGAATCTAACGTACGCATTAATTAGGCATAAAAGACAGGAAAAACGTGGAAAGGTGAAGCGAGAAGGAAAAGTGTGCTTCAGAGGATTATCCCGCTGTCGTTGAAAGTCCTGATAAGCTAAGTGTAAATGTCGGCCCGTCGCAAGGAACATCGACATAAAAAAAGAACGACAAGGGACAGAATCACGTGAAGAAAATGTAGCTTCCTCATCAAGATATACCGAGGGTCATAAGTTTCAACACTCGACCACGCGGGCCATGAGTATAACTCGAAGCTCGACAAACGTTAGACGGTGTCCATGTAAGGTTAGAGTGTTGACACAAAGACTTCGCATCAGGTGGAACCACAAAATCGTTCAGTCCGACGTTTCCGAGCTGAGGTAATAGAGAACAAATTCGAGAACGGACACATTGCCTCATGCATAATTGTTACTTGAAGTCCATGACTTTGAGAAGTGAAAATGTACAGTCAAACATCGCATGATGATCAGTTCAAGGACACACCTTAAATGCTGAAGGTATGGGAGTGACTTAGGAATCACTTCCCAGAAGAACTTTCATCAATTCGTCAAATGACTCGAGTACATGCTTGAACGTCCGAAAATTGGAAGACTGAATCGTAATCAGTTTGCAAAATTGCAAAGCACTAAATGTCAAGAAACTCTCATTTACAGTTGTTGTACAGGTGTACTCATCATTGCTACTATAACACAACCAATGACATCCTCTTCAAATTCGAGAGGAAGAGGGCCTTTGTTAGAACCACTAATACAATCCGATGTCTGATGATCCCACAAGATGTATTGTCCATTTGTTACAAAAAGGAAGGTTGCTATTTTAGCTTAACCCTTAAGAACGTAATTTCCAGAGATCTTTTTTCCCACTCTCCTACAGAACACTAGCCACTAATAGTCCCATCCACTTAGTGCTGTTCCTGCTCTCTCTCTCACATCCATCGGCCAAGTCTGCTGAGTCAGCAGAGTGCTTGGCCGCGGTGCTGCTGTCTGCAATGGTCCCTCTTGAGGGCCATTCAAAACGATATCTTCGGCCGTTGCTTCGGTCACCCGCGTTACACGCATGGATCGTGGAGGAGAGATTTGTAGAAGACGGCAAAGTCCTACATGTTGATCTCCATGGCAGACTCCAAGTTCGACGTTTCTTAGAAACACTCGTGCCAGTCTGTAACAAGAACCACATTCAAGTTAGGCTCCAATGATACAGCATGCTGCGTCCCCAGTTGATCACTTAACATCCGTTAATGTTAGTGGATGCCAGACTGACAGAAAAAGGCATGAGAAATAGTGGGCTACCATACCAGTCAAACCAGATGGCTAACTAAAGAAAACAAAGTCTCGAATGATAAAATCCAGCCAATGGATTCTAAACTCTAGAAGACAGATTCTGTGCTCTGCTTAAAACATCAGAGAACAGCTCCGGACAGCAAAGCTAATAACATGTACGAACACACTAAGTGTCCCCTCAGAACCTGGACCTCACTATTTCAAAGAAATTCTCATCAACCCCGCGGGAGCTATGGTTTGAGCTCACAAATCCTATAAACCTAGAAGCTAACCACAAAACCTAGCAGAGTAGACTTCAACCGCACACATTACATGAAACTAAATTGCAGCTGAGAATGAGTTTAGGCCGCGGGTAGCAGGGCAGTACAGAACAAGGCTGATGAGATGAGACAATTCTCGAACAGACTTACTGCTTAAATCACATACCCAATCTAAACGACATATTTCATACCCTAGATTGAGACGAAAGCCAAGTGACCACAATATCCGCTATAGAAAAATGAATGAAAAAGACGGAATCAAAACAATAGTAAGGTGGCGACCCTTACTTGTTTAACTGGGTCTGCACTGAGCAGCGCAAGCGAGAGAAGGACAACATCCCCTTAAAAAACCAGACAAAAACGTAACATAAGTTAATAATCCTGTCAACAGTTAATACCAAATTTGCAATTGCTCAGTTCTAGACAAACTGCGAAGTCAACTAGTTGGCCTCTGACCATCGCTGGAAGAGAGCAAAGCAATGCAAGTGAAAGCAATCTTAGTAAAATAGAAAACTCCAAAACATACTGAGAAATCGAAAAGCCTCACGACGAAAGTGCAGAAACATTGAAAAAGGTCGGTACGGATTTCAAAAGATATGAACACCTCAAACAGGCAGATGTCGAGACTTGTCGAAGAATTACTAGACATGACGTGCTCCTAATCTTAGAAAAAACAAAACGAGCGAAGTGTTCTGCTTCTCAACGGGAAGGGAAATGGACTAAGTCAAATCGATGTTATTTCACTATCTACCCTTTAGTACCAGAATTGTACGAGAACGCGGTGAACAAGGTAATACTTGTAATTGATTCAGACATTAGATCTGCAGTTTTATTGATGTAAAATTCTGAAAATACGTAGGTCCATCTGCGATACATAAGAGAAACGTCGCTTTGCCGTGTCAATGCGGCAATTATTCTATGCCCAGATTGCATGGCGGAAGTCGGTCATCCTGACAACAAGCCCTTCATGAGGATGCTCACACGACTGCGTAGTTTATTGTCTGGGCTCAACTCCAACCACCATGACCTATCGTAACTTACTGCCAGACCTCTCACTTATCTGGTTTTGTCTTCGTTACTGATCAGAAGGCTTCCATAAGGCGTCCAAAGAACCACCTTCCCCTCTGTGCTGGTGTTGCCTAAACAAGGATAGACAAAAGGGACCACATTCAGGAATGCGAGAGAAATATCAAGCAACCAGAAGAACACTTCGGGATCTTCAATGCTTTCAGATGTATTCTCAATGGCTCTCTCCTGATAAACTGAGTCAATTTTTTCTGGAGTTTTCTACATAAAAGAGCTATTCCAGTTACAGTAGTGGGTAACTGACTTATGGGTGGGCATGAAGTGAAGCTCATCTTCACTAGAAAGAATATTCGACAACAGATCCCAAAGCATGTCTTGGATGGTACTCAACGAACTTTGCAGTTTTGAAAGTATGCATGGTTCATTTATGACTAATTTTATAATTTCACTCCAGACGTTTGGGGGTTTCAAGTAGTCACAGGGAATCCCGCAAATACATTCAACGCAACTGAGGCTGGCACCAGCTTGCAGTATTTGTACAAGGGACTATGGAAACTGCGTGCGAGGATGTCTAACTCTGACGAGTCCAATGACCAAATACGTACTGCTCCAGAATTTCGGAGAAAAAAAAAAAAACAATCAATTTCTTCTCGCTGTTCAGTTTATTGCATTCTCTCGAGTGTAAAATCTACAGTTGGAAATAAACTCGAATGCAGTTGAAAATATGGGACTCTGCGAGAAATTTCGGTGATCAATGGCACACCATATAGCAACAAAGTCGTAAGGGAAGAGTGGATAATAACCACCACTCAGGAAATAAGGACCTAATGTACCGAACAGGAACTTGGGGATCTCCATCAACCCAGAACACCCAGATACAATCCTAGAACCTATAAGCCGCTCTTGGCAACGCTTCAAGTCACATCCGAATTCAACTCGTCAAACTTTTGTTATCGCTCCTTCAGGGTTGGGAGCTTAGGAAAAATCCAAATTCAAAATTTACGTTCAGAGTAAGGCTACAGGAATTTGGGGGAACTCTGGGACCGGGCGGTTGGGCAAACTTCGTCGGGTCGTCAAAAATACACGAATGCCACAATCACCGGTACTTGCGAAGAGAAACATTTGACGTCAAGCCTATTCATACCTTAATAGCGGATGCAAGTGTGGGCTCCGATGGTTCTGTAGAATTCATAGCTTTCTGATCTATTCCTCGTAACTCCCGCAGCTGTTGAGCAATTTCTCGGAGCAGTTGCATTTCACCATTTTCTGTTCTCAAGGAAGTGATCGTTTGTTGCATCGTTTGTCGATCAGCCTCGAGATTCTTCAGCCTGACAGTCAACTGGTCCACAACATCGCCCATCTTGTTCGGAGACGGAGTCACAGAGGTCCTCTCCCTCGCTGCTTGATCACGACCTGATGTAGAAGTTGCTGGCCACTCGTAGTCCTGGTCCAAAGCTTCATCTTCCAGCAAAGTAGTAGTAACATAACGTCCTGGTGCGGTCTGAGATTGAGGTCTTCCTTTGCCACTAGCTTCGCGGTCCGACGGGGAATATCCAGGTAAGGGATCAGGCTTCCCAAGACGGTCACCGTTGTCCCCAAGGAACTCCATGTACTCGTTTTCTAGGGGATATGCAGACTCCCCGCGCAACTGCTTGTTAGATGTAGAGAACGCAGACTTCCTGAGTTCTTCATTGTAAAGCGTCTCACCTCTCTTGGGCGTAGATGTTTCCAGCGAATCTCGTTGGACCTCGTACACATCATGGACAAGCGAACCTTCACTTGATTCATCGTCTTCATGTCCGAATGGCCTTTCGCACCTTGCTTCATTTCTGGGAGAAGAGAGGACTTCACCTCTTACGTGAAATCGATCTCCTTCGCTGGCATGTCTGCGGAATCTCGATACGACCGGTGGTACTCTGCTGCCATCACCAGGAGAGGGTCTTTTAGATTTCTCGCGGTCGGGTTCAGCTGCAGAAAAATCCACCAGAGCTCCCTTGGTTCCGGATTGGTCGTCAAGTCCTGAATCCGAAGTTAATGACCCTAACTTTTCAGGTTTGTTGTTGATGTCGCTCGAACTAGTAGCACGACCAAGCTGTACTGCAGGTTTCTTCGGCCCGCCCTGATGAAGCTGCTCCTCGAACTTCCAAACGTACTCTAGAACTGATATTCTTTTCTGTTCCATCGCTCGGTTGGCTTCGGCGTCCCGAACAATTCCTGACATGAGGCCACTCCTGTCAGAGGATTTCTTCAAGGATACATTTTGAATTTGTCCTTTCGAGTCTTGCTTGTTCAACACTCCGTTCGCGGCATTCTCACCTGCAGCAGGTCCAAAACTCCTCAAGGTATTCTTCCAGATTCTTCTCAGATCATCTTCGTTCCTAACCTTACCCTTTCTGCTTTGGATCTGGAATTTCTTCTCGATTTTGTTCAGAGTCTCCAAGGATGCTTCATCTCGCAGTCTCGGCTCCTTCCTCAGAGAGTCCATCATACAGTGGAACGATTCGTACCCGACGGCATCTTCGTTCCGGCCTGCAGTCTCCTCGCTTCCGGCTTCACTCATACCACCACCGGCTTCACTGGCCGCGCCGTCTCGTTGACTCTCCTCGTCTCCGCCGACGGAACTGAACGATTCCAGCAAATTCTTCGGCAGTCGACCGGATTCAATTGACAGATTGCTTATCTTCCGAGACAGTTGTGATTTCTCCGCGCTCTCCTCCTCCTCCTCTTTGATTGCAGGAACCGGCGCGGGGAGAGCCCTGGCACTGACCTTCTCGTTGGCCGCGGTCACCCAGTCCTTGATTTCGGCGAGCAGCCTCTCCTCGCGGCTATCCTTTCTGTTGGTCGGATTCTTCCAGTCGTCATTGCCCTCGAGCAGCAGCGTTTCCCTCTCGATCAGTAAGAAGTCACTCTTCTTGTTGGCACCGCCCGATGCGTCGACGTTAGCCCTGTCCAGCTCGTCCATCGTCAGGGACAGCAGTCTCTGGCGATAGAGCTTCGCCTCCTCCTCCAGATTGAACATCTCCTTATCGCGCCGGACGAGAATGTCCTGAAGAAGAGCGATAGCCTCCTGATCGTACTGCTGCTTCTCCTCCGCCATCCTCTGATACTGCCGACATTCCATCTGGGCCGCGGCTTTCTCCTCCTGCAGACGAGTGATCATCGCCATGGCCTCATTCGCGGCAGTGGCCGAAGCGCTGCGCTCCTGCTCCAGCTCGTTGTACAGGTCCGCCAGCGCCTTGCGCTCTGCCTGAAGTGCATCTTTCAGCTCTTTCATGCCGCTGTACTCCATTTGCTCATCGTCGCCCTGGTTCGCGACGGAGCTTCCTCCCATTTCATCGAAGGAATGAGCAGAGGCCTCGTAACCCCCGCTCCATTCGGGAGTTACGTCGCCTCGCTCGCGCTCGCGCTCGCGCTCTCGATCGCCTCCTTTCCTGGCAAACTGAAGGCGCGCATCGCCCGACACGCCTTCTCCTTTCCTGTTCCCATTAGACTCCTCCGCACTCCTTCCATAATTTACCGGAAGGCGTCTCACGCAAGGAAAACTATCTTGCGACGAATTTCCCGAAGATTCTTCCCAACTCGCTTTTCTCAAGTTATCGGCGTCCTCGGCGTCTGACACAACGAACTGCTTGCGCATCATCGACAGCTGGTCGCCATCCTCCTCCTCGCTCGCGTCGTCCACCACGATCTCGTCCGGCGACAGCGTGATCGATGTCGCCCCTACGGCCTCGTACCTGCTCTCCAGCCGATGCTCCTGACACCGATGCTGCTGCTGCTCGAGGTGCAGCAGAATGCCTCCCGCAGCAGGCGCCTTCTTGCCGATCCCGACGGACGACGCTTCCCGCTCCTCCTCGGCCAATCCCTGCACCAGATCGCGCGGCGAGCCCGCCCTGCAATTGTCGGGGAAGACCTTGGCGAATTTGCGCTTCAGAGGCCGCCCGAACGCGCCCGAGGTCGACGTCGACGACGCCATCGGCGCCTCGTTGGGGTCGCCCCCGCTGCAGCTGCCGCTCATGGCCAAGCTGCAGAGGCGGCACTCGCTGCCGCACGATTCCGCGTTCCTCACGCTCGCATCGTCGGCCGACGAAAAGCTGGCCGTCCGTCGAGAGCTGCGGCCGACGTCGTCCTCGTCCTCGTCGTCGGGCCAGAGCTCGAAGGACGAGGAAGCGAGCGGCGAGCCATCGTGGTGGTGGAGCTGGGCAGTGGCAGCGGGAGGTCGCTTGGAGGAAGATTTAGCAGGGGGAGGCGCGGCGCAGCACGAGCAATCGGAGAGCTGAGCCGTGCAATTCTCGCAGATAAGGCTCATGTCATCCGAGTTTTGACGGCGCTTTTGACAGAGGTCGAGCTTCTGCGAAGCAGGGGCGGCGGCCTCGACTTCTTCTTGTTTCTTGCCACGGTGGTCGACTTCGCATGAGTGGCAGGAGAGACATAGACCCGACGACCTGATGAGTTTGGTGGTGGCGATTGATATGAGCGCGCATAGTAGGACGATGAAGCTCAGAACCAACTGCACGAACGCCCAAACTAGGGATGACACCCTCCACCGATCTGAGAAAACGTGATGCTCAACACTGGTCCATGCCATCTCCGAGCCACACACACCGATTCCACTAAGCCACTTCCCCGCTCGGCCCGAGCAGCATAGACGATGACGACAACAGACGAACGAGGGAAGACGAAGTTCGGGACGCGTGGAACACCAGATGCTGCACACTTTCGGTGAGTGAGGACGACAACATCATGTCGACAGAAATCTGATGCTTCTCGCCTCAGCCGACTCTACCCTGTACACCCATTGCAGCAGCGGCCTGAGATTTCGATTCGAACAAACTATCAACTCGCTTGTACAAATCCACCGCAAACCTCGATGATTCCTCACAAAACAGGAGAGCTGAATTGAAATTTTATTGACCCCCAACCTGTCCAGCAATCGACTCAAGCACAGATCGTCTACCTCCAGACGGATTGAATTGCCTTGCTCTAGGGAGGGGGTCTGAAATCTAGCCACAAAGGACCCAAGAGAGAGACAGAGGTGCACAATCTCCACAAAAATCAGAGACGGAGACTACCTCAGAACTGACAGCCTGATTCGCGACAAACGCTACCACGAAGAAACTCTTAATGATTCGAAAAACACGTGAGAAATCTTCCACGAGAGACTTCTCACATGATCGTATTGCAGCAACCCCTCATAATTATAGGAAGCTGCGACCCGGTCGTCCCCATACCAATCGACTCCACGACAACCATCCAACCAACAACTCTAGATCCCGCTACTCTTCTGTCTAGGAGTCGTAACAATTCACCTCACTATCTAACTCGCCTCTCAATATTCTCAAAAGCTTCAGAAAGCTCAAAGCCTCTCTCTCACACTGGGGTCGGGACCGGACGGGATGAAAGAAGCAAGGGCTACAACATAGGCTCGGAACAACATCGCCGAGATGCGCACGGTAGATGAATGCAGACGAGAATCGCCCCGGGGACGGAAGAAGAAGGAGCAACGAGAATCCCAATTAAAAGATTGAAATACGATGTTATTAGATTATACGGAAGCATCTGGGGGAGAGGAGATGTAGAGGAAGAAGCAGAAGAAAGAGATTGGAAGAAATGGGGAGACAGCAAAAATCCCGTCGTCTGGGTAAATTGCAAATCTATCTGATCGGAGAGCCCGTGCTTTGACTCCGGGCACGCTCTGTATCTAATGCGGAGGAATTAGAAAGGACCCAATTGAGAACTCTACGTGGCCTATGCCCCTCTCCGGAAGAGAGAACGGGGAGAGAGAATGGAGAGAGGGATCTTGACCTTGATCTCTGGCAGAGGAATCCCGAGCGATCAATGCGCAATCTCCATGCCATCCGCATCAATCCCGACGCGACAGCAGATGACGAGAGAGGGCGCGGGCGCTTGCAATTAACGAACGCTGGAAAGTGACCGCAGCGAAAATGGGAACAATTCGTGACGATTCCTTCGTCGGTCGCGATCGCGCTCACGATTTCGCTCGCGGTTTCGCTCGAAGGGCTGGCGGGGCGGGGCTTGCTCTCTCGCTCTCTCGCTATCTCTCTCTCTCTTTTCTGGCTGGAGCTCACGTCCACCGCCACGACCAAGCAGCCCCGGGAACACAAGGGACGCGCTTTTGCCTCGTTATCCAGAGAGTCCATGCATTGTCCGCAGGCCACGTGCAGTTCTCCGCTGGAGTACCTCTGTTTCCGCTGTGCAGGAACAGCGACCGGAAACAGGAGACCACGGGCTCGCACAGTTCCTGACCCTTCCCCGGCTCCGGCTGTGACCGGACTTCTGGTCCGGCGTCCCGAGTCCAGACGGTTGTGCGTCGCCCACCTAACCCGCTATTTCAAAAGCAGGCGGGCGCGCTGACTGCCTGGCGGCCGGCCGGCCGTTAACTTCAAACACAGCTGGGGCCATTCTCACCGGCATTCTGGCCCCAGTCCCCTGCCCGAGACGGGACCCGCGCACGGCCGCTGCGGCTTCCAGACCTTTAGTTAGAGCTGGAAGGGTTTTGCCACGCGGAATGAGTCTGGACTCTGGGGCTCTGGGGTTTAGGCTCGGTGGGACCCCGCGCACAGAGGGCCGGGCTCAGTGCCAAGAACCCCGGTCAAGGGATTGGTTTTTCGCCCCCCGTATTTCAAATTCTCTCCCGTTCTTCTTTTCAGCGACTATTTTTCATTTTCTTTCCCCGTCCGGCACCACGGGTGGGTTACCTGACCCACAATCCACTTCACCCCGGATCTCTTGATCAGTTCGAACCTTCGCTGGCTCTGTGAGTTACATGAGGATCACTCCTCTTCATTAACGAAGTCCATCTTGCGTGCCTGTGTCGGGTGTCAAGTTAGCACACTAACACGCTGCGTACGCTAACCACGAGTCGCGATTCGAATCCGATGTCTCGGTTGACCGCCGGTTGAGTCAAGTTCCGTCTAATTCCAGTTCCCTCGTCCGCGGGTTTCGTGCTTTAACCCGAGTTTGTAACCTCCGTGACCGTCGCTGCTGACGTCATATTTCAAAATCCGGCACTTGGAACTCGGAGGTGGGTTTCTTAACCACGCCTGTTCAAAGGGCAGATGCCCGCGGCCAAGTGTGCTAACCACTCAGAATGGAGAGGCACGTGAACCTTTCCCATTTTAAGCCGCAACCCGAGCTCTTGGAACTGCTCTCTCTCCATTATGGAGGCCGGATGGTAGATATTGAGTTTAGGTTAATCACTCTGATTAGAGGAACTCCGCTCAACTATTCACACTCTGATTAGAGGAAGTTCCACTAATCTAATCATACTCTCATCGATCCTTGTCGAGGATGGTCGACTACTCTGACTGTAACAGAGCCCAGAATAGGCCCTGACATAACATGACCTCCGGGTCACGCTAACCATGGTAGAACTCCTCAGCGATTCGAATTTGATTCCGGCGCGCGTCAACGGCCGGCGTCGTCGCTCGGGAGCCGCTGCCGGGTGGCCACCTGGGAATGTGACATTCATTCGATCGATCGATTGATCCACATCGCGCCCGATACTCACCAAGAAGTTGGGAGGGCTGGGTCTGCAGCGAGTTGCAGATCCAAGAACGTGATGAGCTTCGCATTAAAGCTCAATTTGGAACACGGTGCGTGAGCTTTGTCAAAGTGGGAGAGGTCCACAGAGGCTCGAGAGGATGCGTCGTCCCGGAGAAGGACAGACACTGATGTGATGTGATTTGATGGCCTGCTGACGATGCACCAACCTCCGCTTTGCTACTGTGGATGTATCGTGTATCGATCGAGCCCGTCTTCTGTATCCTCGTACTCTGAATCTTAAATTTTTTCAATTAATTATCACCGATTTGTTGTGACCTGTCATGCTGTGGAAGAACGAGTGATGGAGTCCACAAGAACATTTGTGCTGACTGCTATGTTGCTTTGAAGAGGAGCTTTGTTGTCAGACGACGACGGTTGACAGAGTATAAATTTAGCTGGGACTGAATGTATAACATGAGCAAATCGTTTGTATCGCCTTGGAGTAGGAATATTCAAGCGCAAGGTGCATCAGGTGTTAGTTGAGGCCAACGCCACGCTAACTCGGGGTTTAAATGCCGCTTGAAGTCTCAGTTTTGTGGAAAAAGTGAACACAAAGCAAAACGGGCGGCTCCGCGCACGGATTTCCAACAGGTGGCTCCGAACGAGATGAGTCACGAAGGGTGATTCCTGATCAAACTTCTTATCGCTGTCTGTACAAACCACAAGTATCAATATTAGAGAGATTGTGATACTACTAGCGCCAGGTCAAGGAGAAAGGGCAGGGTCCACTTGTTGTAGAGAACGAGTGAATCCTCCACTTTAACACCGTGGGTACTCCAAAGTTGGAACTATTTAAAAAAATATGAGCCTTCAAAAAGTAATGCATGGCACTCTTAAAAAATAAATTAACTTCTAATTCTTCTTCATTTTCGATACATAATTTTCACCTTCGTCTTGTATTCGAATTTCCATCAACATCATGAGCATATGGAATTTCCTCAAAACTTGGTATTTTCAAATGGAAGTGTTTGTCAAGGATATTGTTTGCTCGGTGAATGTACGGTCGGCCGATTGGTGATGGAAGATAGAAAATCGAGACAACATGTATTTTTCTATGCAGTATCTAGATGGTTATATTTCTTGCAAGGATTTGGAGGAAATTATACGGATTTCAATACTTTGTTGCAGAGCCATAGATCCGTATAATGTCCTCCGTTTCCTTGCAACAAATTAACCGTGGTCACTACATCAAAGCTAGACTTGATTTTATTGGAGTAATGAGTTGTGGTTCCAAAGAGTCATACCACGAGTTGCTGAGGTCCAAAAGAAGACCAGGACCACATCTTGTTGGAGGTGGAGCGGAGTGTTGGGTGGATTACAAACTTGGAAGGTTTCGTGACCTTTTTCTCTCTCTCTCTCTCTTGTGTTTCTCGTCGTGTGTTGTCAGAGCGGCCGAGGGACAGAGGAGTATTTGACCGGACGTAATTGATACTAACGAGGTCAATTACCAAAACATGCAGCACTTTGACTGTCGCAACTTTGTGCTCAGACGTTGGATGCCCTGGCGACCTTTCTCTGTCGATGGATGGAGAGCGTAATTGAAACACATGGCACAGCGGAGAATTTACACACAGTGATACGCTACTGACTCACACTGATAGTCTTTGTCCTTATTTGCACTGCCGTTGACGAACCTCCATTATATGTACACCACATTTGTACATCTCGTACTGTTTGTCACTGTATAGTACCGTGCATTGACCAGGATTATCCCGATCACACTCCTGCACAGTTTTCTTAAATGAACTCGGCGTCTGTCTGCTTCATTGACCTTCTTCTGCATTCTACTTTAGGCACTCATGTTGTACTTCCTATGTTACATTGTTTATATAACTTATAACTTATACAACTTATAACTCCTCTACGTCCGACATAACTGTGTTATTTTACTGTGTCCTCTTTTCTTTTTTTAACATAACTCTGGCATTGTGTTTAGAGTACACCTTATGTTAATACCATGTGGGCTCCTCTTTTTTTTCTTATGTGAAAGTTATATTGTCAAGATTCGGGGATTGGACTTGAATATAACTGGATTAGTATAAGCTGGCCTTGATCTACTGGATATGATGTAAGTATGACCTGTGCAGCTTATAAAGATGAAGCTTCTCTCGTCATGCACACAGAGTTGTCATGCAAATGGGATTCTTGGAGAATGGTACATCTTGCGGATGAAACGTTGTAGTCCAAGAATTCAAATCTGTGTTGTCACATACTGCCGACCTAAATTGCAGTAAGTGCACAACATATAAATTTATCCTTTCAACCAGCCTTGTGATGGGGCCACTTCTTTTTTATCATTGAACGTTTCGTTGATCCTATTTCTCTTTGTCATCTCCCTGATATTTTGCCTGTATCTCATTACAATCTGTCTGATATGATAGCAACAGGGATTTATCTGTAGTCGAAAAGCAGATATCAAGACCCCCCCTCGAGGCTTTTTCTCTTCACGCCCGGTAGAGTATAATCTTACATACCCTCCAATTACAATAGTAATTTGGTCTTCATCAAAAGCTTTTGAGTGATGGACTAAAGGAATAAGCCAACCCTTTCCCATTTCGTCAGTGGTTGATATTCGTAGGATTATTCATAATTAGGATATTCTCTCAAACCTAATCATGTTTTCAGGAAAGTTTAAGCCCTGTGCGGTTTGGATTCCGAGGCAGCAGGGAGAGGAGTTTCGCTGTCCAGAATCCAGATTGTGGAAACGGGAATGCACCTTTTCCGAAAATAATGGGTGTCTGAGGCTCTGAGTCCAACACTGTTCTGATGGGGATGGGGACCATGGGGTCAGTCGTTCATTCTTTTTACAGAACCAAAGAGGCAAGGCATGAGCGGGAGCAGGAGAAGCGTAGCCACTTCTCCCTTCGCTAACTATTCACCAACTCCCCGCTGCCTCTGGAATCTGCAAATTAATAAAGTCCAGCTGCTTTTGCATCGTCTATGTAATCCAAGCTGTCGACACCTCACTGGAAAGCTGACACCCTGCACTCATGAGTCACGACACGTCTCCCTCCACCTCTCGATTCCCCATCTCTCACTCCTCGCCCTCTCCCTCTCCCTCCCCCACCAACACATGCCTCTCTCTTGTGTCGACAACCCCTGGGCCTCTTCTCTCCCCCTTTCCCCATCTCGTCCAGTTACGCATCTGCCTCATCCCCCTGTCTCCACCACCCCTTCCTAGGTTCGGCATCCTATAATCCCCCAGACACCGGCACAAGACACCAAGAAATGCAGCACCCCGAAACAGCTGGAACAGCTTCATCAGTATCTGTTCCCTTCATCAGAGTAGAACTGGGTTTCATGCTACAAATCGCTAACCCGTTCTGGTGGGTACGTTACAGAGGCAGAGTACAACTCGCTGATATCTTCACAGTGCTCTCGCGGCAATCTTACCTTTTTCGCTCAAGTGGTAAGTTTGTTGGGAGCTCGAGAAGATACTGTCCAGATGACAACTTGCACCGCTACTATAGAAAATCATTGCATGATTAGTAATATGAAAATCGGAATAATAGAACGTGGGTTTGGATATGACTGCATATTGTGATATGCGCGTTTCAGTCGCTATTCGATCGCGCATCAGTAGCGAGGTGGAATAGTGTTGCTATATGCGACCATGACCTTCTGTGATTTGGTACTGGTTGGTGGAGAACTAGCCCCGACCGGCACAGAACGGTACCAGGCGAATGGACGCATTTACCCAAGCTGTGTCACGGGTGCACAACCGGCAGTCATGGGTTAGCGATCCTAAATGCAGACCAGTTTTCTAGCTTCAATTGCAGTCGTGCGCTATGTCTGGATAGCGCAATCTCGGTTTAGTTTGACGTCCTTTCCTGCTCTCCGTCACCGGATGTGGGAGCTCACGGTGGGGTCCGCAGGTGTCAGTTTTCTGGTATTTGTCGTGCGAGACTGAAAAGCCCCGAAGGCCACCGTAGGGGGTACTCGACGTCTTGATGAACATACCGTGCCTGGTCTGAGTGGAAGCTCTGTCGGACATACCGACCGGCGAGTAATGACGGTCAACACATGTTCGTCGCTTTTTCTAACCGGTTGTTGATCTCGTACCGGACATGGTTCTGGATATCGTATCCACAACCATGTCACGTTCCCGGAACCGCTGGACCTACTGTAGTCCGTCTGACACGCGTCGAGCCGTGGTTACCTCATGTGAAGCACAACACGGCGCGAGGACATATGACATATGCTACTGTATGGATAGCGTTAGCCAAATATAATGTAGTGTACTTTTTGCTATTTTGTGAATTCTTCGCATTTTACAATATAAATCTTGATTCTGTTAATTTTTTTCACATGTATCACATTAACAAATCAAATCATATAGTTTTTTTCTTAAATAATGATACTAAGTTCAATAGACTGAACCTTCATTTCATGTAAGATGAATTTCTATTTTTGAAAAGGAAAAATCAGATAAATCTTGTTTTCATTTTTTGTTAGTTTTTTTATTATCATTTTAGATCATTTCAACTTCTATGTTATGACTTATTACCTGAACCTAATCAATCTTGAACGCTTGATTCGTCTACTTGTCGTTTACTTCATATGCTCCAGTGCAGGCCTCATACTGAACATTCAAACATGTTGAATGACGTCAATAATATATTCACGCCATGATTCGAAATCCATTCTTACTGGTAATAGACGTCAGCGAAGATATATTCAATCTTACTGATAGTGAAGAATCCTACCTTACACCCAAAATGAGCCGAATTAGCGTAAAACAGATGAAGTCTATATTCATTTGTTACATGAACTATCAAGTATTTAAGATTGAACTATTTAGACTTTTGATGTTACTGATAATTGAATTGATTGAAAATGTTTGAAATGTTGAGATACCTGCTTATTTCTTTAGAAAAGAAATTTTTGATGACTCATTTGCAGATATTTTGATGTGAAATATCAAGATGATACTAACCAACTCTATTTACTCTAGTACCATGTATATCATATGCTGAGATAAGATTGAAAGTAATGTAATTTTCATCTTACAAATATATCCATCTGCATCCTGGTACTCCTGAAAATTTTATCATAATGCACTTCATTTTTATCGTCGATTTTTCCTCGATTGAATGTTGCACATTCTGGAACTTTTGAAGGTACAACTAACAACGAAGAAAAATAAGAAAGGTATCGCTTTGGCGGATTTTTACCATGCTTTGGCTTGGATTGGCTTTACCATGCGGATTTCCGGCATCTTTAGTGAAATAGAGGTAGTGCAAAACAATTGTACCATTACTCTCGTTCAACCGAAGATAGTCTTGTGTGTATCAGTAGTATATGAACATTTGCGGAATCTTCTTGCGCCGATCATTTTTTAGTTGAGAGAGAAGATACGGCGTACTACAAGGAAGTGCCAAGAGAAAAGCGACATCCACCTCGAAATCAAAGAACAAAATCGGGCACCTGGTAAAAGGAACCGTCCTGGTTTTGTAACAGCTCGATGTCGTTCTGCAGAAGGGTCCTGAAAAGGGGCCATGTTTCGGACCTGCATACTTCCAAGAAAAACCAAGTGAAGCATTTCGGCATCTGAGGGAAGTCCTCGATGAGGTGAGCTGAGGTGGTGGCTATGTCGGTCCTTTGGTATAGTCGGGGGAGCTACTTTCTAGCAGCCTTGTTTTTTATTTTGTTGAGTCGTCAATTGGTGCAAGCTTCTGGATCCTCTGGTGTGGCATCATTCCAAGAAACAGGTTAATATCCATGGCTGTTTTCCTTTCTTGCTTGCGCGGCCTGTGTCCAACCCTAAAGGTTTAGATTGAGTCGAACGCAGCTGCGTGGATCTTGAAGATTCAAAAGCATGGCATGCGCAACAAGAAGTTGTTTCCTTTCGCAAGTTGGGACGCAGAAATCAAAGCTAAGCATCAAAGGACTCCGAGGATCATCCGCATGTGTAATTTCTCTCGGAGTCATCTTGCCCTTTTCTGGAAACGGTTGGGCGATCAACTCAAAGCTCCATGGAAGCTTTACAACCTGGAAACTGATCCCATTGTGAAAAGCCGGTCGCTGGAGGGAAGGTCACATGAGGTTCTTTGCAATTATGACAAAACCTCATTCCAAAGGAGAACAAGCATTTCTTTAACATTGGGGATGAGGACATTTGAAGACTGGGAGCAGGCTGTACCGAAGTCACTATGAGCACGTAACGTTCAGCGAAGAGCTTTTGTTCGAATATGGAAAATTGGTGTGCCCTTCCAAACCTTCACTGGATTGGCATCAGGTATCTAAACAGAAGGAGTTCCCCTTTTGCAAAGGTCTTGGACACATGGGGTCCTTCGGGTGCATTATAGTCCAAATTTTCGAGGACCCCGACACCAGATCAAAGCGACCGACCTTTCAGAACCAGCATGTGAATTTAGCAAGAGGACATGCCACCAATCTTCAGCGCCAAGTTTTCCACCTGCTTTTAAGCTAATACGCATAATCAAATGAACGGGAAAGATAAGTATCACACTACCTAACTCTCATGCCTCCAAAAGATCGACAGCAGCCTCTCTATGCACCGCACCTAAGAGCCCAGTCATCCTCTCCCTCTTTACAGATAGGTGATGTCACATCGACATCACAGTAAAATTTCGACTTGCACATGATAACATACTACAACGATTTTTGTCCAAGAACCAATGACTAGGACCCCATTACATGCAGACTTTCGGTGCCTGGTGTTAAATTTGGTTGTCCATAGCTAAGGCGATGGCTGCTGCTGCTGCTGCTTTTGCTTCCGCTTCATATGGTCTACAACTCCTAGCATGTTGTTAGGGTTGAAGTGTTCCTTCCATGACCTGTGCTTTGATCGGGTCATTATATTTGTTTTAAACGAAGGAGTCTATCAGACTTTGAAGATGGACATTGAGACCTGGACATCACAAGGGCCCACAGTTTCTTCCCTGGGCGGTGGTGATGCACAATGAACTTTGTGTAACGATTGAGCAAAAAGGAGGTTTCCTCGAAGAAAACTATGATACAGTACATGGAGTCCTCAAGGTCCTCATGGGGCCTGGCTTCGTATGGGCCTACATTTGATTTGGGTTCTGTGTGAGCCTGAAACAAGATTTTCTGCCAGCTGCAGCGACACGAAGCAACACCAGGGCAGAGAACATCTCCAGCATGCTTTCATCAATGAAACAATTTATGGTGAACTTTGGCAGAACTCGGTCAGCGACAAGCGAACGGGAGCTAAAGTAGAAGTCTTACACACGTTCTGCTTGTGGGTCAGTGACCACGAGGACCCACTCACCACAGTATGATTCCTTTCTACCAAGTAGGCTGACTTATTTAGAGTGTAAGAGTTGTCCAAATCGTACAGATCGTTGAAGCGGAATTCATTTGTGGGACTTGGTAAGTCTGAAGTATAGATGACCGAATCAAATAGAACACTGTATTCAACTATCGAAATGGGAATACAGTACTGTGCAGTTTCTATTTATTGTCTGAACGATGTCAGAGCTGAACTGCATACATCCTTGAACGATGTTCACTTCATTCCATTGATGTAAGTACTCGTAAACTGAGTACCACGTCTTTACCCACAGCTGTTTCCTCCCCACGAGAGGGCAATATTGACCTATTCGTAGTCACTGATCGAAGCTTCGATCACTGAACTTGTCCTGAAGTGTTATCAGTAGTTACTGCAGCTAGAGCCCACAGAGGAAGGTCGAAAGGAGCGCAACTCAATCGTTCGTTTGTGTCCCCAGGTACCCCACAATTTGTCAACACCTTTTCCTCCACTACACACTTCATCAGGTTAATAGAGAATACGGAAAGTCACGAGAAGATTCTTGGCAACCAGTCTTCCACCGCCAGAGGTGTGCACAATTCAGTTGTTTTACATGCAAAACATCAGATCGTCACAGAAACTGGGATAGGGATCCACTCCGAATGCAAGGTGCGTAGATGACCTGAGTGTTGAGATCAGGCCGGTGTGATTTGGTCTGCTTCTTATGAGCAGGTCCAGCGAACAACATATCTTTCCACTTTATGTTTCAGACCTCTCAGGGCCTACTTGAACAAGGTGCCAACCACACTGGTCATGATGAGGTCAAGGCACGTAAACTACGGTCATCGTATATACAGGCCTCTGGAGCTGGTCATCTCGGAACTCCTGAAGTTGAAGTAGGGTCTTGCTCTTGCAGTCATTGGAGTGGGAAACGGTCAAAAAGCAAATGATGAAGTCTACTCTGTGCAATGATTTTGAAGAGCACCATGGAGGGTTCGTTGGTTGGGTTGTATTGCATTGGCTTCACTCAGAGGAGGGATGGTCAACAGAACCACGTAAAGATGAATCCGCTGTAGGAGGGGTGCCTAGTAAATAACAATATCCATAATACCCTTCTCTGAATCTGTCTGATGTTTTTGCTTCCGGTTGGATTCATACGGTCTGCATATCTTTCCTCCAGGCTGTCCAGTGAAATGTCATCCTTCATCGTCCTGCCCATGACCAATAGTTATGAAACACGTCATACCCAACTACTTCCGATCCCCGATCTCGGTACCTTTTCCTCCTAAAATCATGCACAATGTAGCCTCAGGGATTTCACTCTCTTCCTCAGTCACTTCAAAGTGGTAACGTCTTCAACCCTTTTGGAAACATTTTTCGTTTGTATGTGTTAGTCCTCGTACGAATGTTCCTCGGCACTCAAAAGTTTGAGTACTCTGATTGTCAGGGTACACCTCTTCACGTGTTTATGTCTACCTCATTTTCAGCATCTTAACGCATGGAAGTGACATCCACTAGGAGAAGGAAATCCTATTACGCTATACGCCTAACAAATATCTCCTTTAGAATAGCCGACTTTCAAAGTCAGTATCTGAGTGCCCTGTTGTTCATTATAGCAAGGAAGAAATAACTAAGTAACGTACTTATTGATTTGGAAGTCAAAGCTGCACTGCATATTCATCCAACCGTGAGTTTTTATCTCAGGGTATTTAAATATGTTTATGTCTAAGATTATTCTCTCTATTATAACAATAGATTTTTATGATGATGCTGATTTTGATCTATCATGTATGAGTGAGAGTGAGAGAAAACCTACCCTATTATTTTTTTTGAGATATCGATATCTTTAGACTACTACTTAAACTATTTTAAAAATATGTTATCAATGTTGTATATCGAAGACTTATCAAATTAGATGATAATATGTAAGATGCTCAATTGATCTGTAAAGAATATAATCTACACAGTTTGAACACGTTTGAGTGTAGGCTTTATAATTTCCATGTGATAGTATAAATCAAAACACATTAGCATCACTTTGATTCTAACCAGTAACTAGGTGCTTAGCCCCTAGTGACTGGCTTTAGCTGATGTCTTCTGATTTCTACGTTTATTCATTTCGCCTCGTTACTGGTGTGGAGCTTCATTGTGGAATTGGAGTTAGGCTACCGGTCCAGTCCAAATATTATACTATGTTATTCCATAATATAAAATAAATCAACGGTCTAAAATCATAGTCCACATGATCCATTTTGTGAATATTACTACGTTAAGTTTGATAGCCTCTGCTTTGAACTTTGTTACTTTTTTTGCAACCATTTTTCTCATCCATGCGTAGCCGTCGTTTTTGGCTCTATCGTAACATTTTGCTCGATCGTCCATCTGAACTCGGACGGGAGATGATCACGTACAAAGAGCCCACATGTGAGCTAGAATTGAATAAAATCCTTTACAGCTTTGTGGAGAGGGAATGCAAGTCCGTCTCCACATACAAGTACAGTACATTATCTACGGTGTCAGAGTACGTGTGTTGCAGTACTGTAATTTAAAGTGCTGTATCGAAGATTTTGAGTATCCAGCATAGCCGTACGTACCATCGTCGATGGCCGACTTGATGCCCAGTTAATGCTTTGGTGGCACCCGGTAATCTACGTCCATAGTGTCCATCTACGCAGTTTGTACCAGAGGCTACCCCTTACTCCTGGTAACCAAACGGGGCCAAGTGGATAACAAAGAAGGACTCCTGGTAAGCTGGAGATGAGAAGGGACAGAGTTGAGCCCCCCGAATTCTGACATTGGTGACTGTAAGAGTGAGTGAGTGCAAGTTATAGGATCACTGTCTCAGTCTATGTCCAAGGTGTCCAGCCATAGCACGAGCGGAACCTTCATGTCAATATGCTGCCACTTGAGTACAGTGAGCACAGTCGCCAAGTCAGCTACACGGGCAATGGTTTTGCTGCACCAGACCGGATTTTCTCGCTGCGAGGAAGGCCTACTGAATCTACACACAACTTGCCTACAGCGCTTTGGAGATGCTATCATTCCGTGAGAAGTTCATCCAAGAGTGGAAGGGAACTCATTCTCGTCTGGATTTGGTCACAGCCAGTGGAGGTGAAGGTTTGTACCTTGAGTGGACTGACTGACCGAGTTTCTGACACAGTTCTAGTTCAGATAAGCTTGCTCTTACAGTACGAGCCGAGGTTGTTGCAACCTTGTCGCCATTGGCTGAGTGTCAGGCCGGCTTCCAACATTTCCTCTGAATGTGAACCGTTAGTTGACGCACGCCGTCTCATGGTTTGTTCTGCCCCGAGGACTTATGATCGTTTCGAAATGTACCTTCAGGTTAGCAACGGCCCAAATGCCCGTGCGTACTTGCTTATCGGGTGGAGGTGGTGAATGCGGCTGTGAAAGTTCGGGGGTTGGACATTGAATGTTCAACCCTTATCATGAATCAGAGTCCCTTTACGGAATCAGAGTCTTCTGTGCGTGCGCACGTCTTCACTGTATTCTCCCAGCGAGGTCATCAAGCTTGTAGTGTGTCAAAGGCCTATCCCTCGGTAGGCTGTTGTACGCATCGTCTTCCGTTACAGATTGATGTGATACTGCCAAGGTGAGTGAATGTGACAACTGAGTTAATAGATAGATCACTGCGAGCCGTCTAATATACAGACACCGTGCATAGTACATCCCCTCTCCTCCCATGCCTCCATTTCAAGGCAATTCTCACTCTCAGCGCGTGAAAGACAGAGCAGAGCGTCTCTAACGACTCAACCACCCACCTACCACCCAGCAGCCAACATGATTGCTCGAGGTTGATGCTTACGTGACGAGCCTACCGGCCCTTTTTCCATACAGCCTCGTCTGAGAACAAGAGGAGAACGAGTGGTATGGTGTGTCAGTGCCTGGTGAAAGTTTTACTTCAGCACCTTGGATACAATGTCCTCGTTTGGCAAACCCTGGAGCTCTTTCACGATGGACATGTTAACTAAGTCGTGACTACCATGTGTCGAATGAGCACTTCAGATACCTCCGGGCTTCCCACCCAAAATCACGAAGGATCTAAAGAGGTATACACTCGTCGAGAGTGGGCACCATGTTTCATCTTACATGCACACTGGCATTCCGAATTTGGAGTGGTAGAAGGACCCGACTGCTTCCAAGAGGTCTCGGTCATCAAGCATGTGCACTTGGACAGGATCACTTTACAAAATATTTGGGCTAGCTTACAAACTCCGCCATGACGGGGGCCCAATATGTCGGCGATCTCATTGCTTACTCCGATATGGTACAGGCTCCTCTCAGAGGTGATCATCCTCGAACTAACATAACACGTTGCTAAATTGTGGATCTCGGAAACAACTAGTAGCAATATTTTGATGGGACTACTTTGCCAGGGTTAAAAATGTTGTCCGGATCCAGAGTTTCTTTGATGGATCCCATCACTTTCATTGCCTCGGGCCCGAGCTCCTTCTCGAGATACTGCATTCCGCAAGACATATCGTTAGCCATCTTCATCCCGTCTCCGATCATTACAGCGGTCTTAATATCTCATTAGATGTGTCTCAGTTTCGAGTGTTTGCTCCCAAGTGGTAGCTAGGTCTGTATTTGCTTCAGCACAGAAAAACCTTTGCAAGACTTTTCCTCCAAGTCCAAATGAACTCCTTCCTAAGATGGAGTCATTCTAGATTTAGAATCACTCCATTCCATACTCAACAAAGCAACGAGCCCGGGATCAAGGAGTCACCCACCTTCACTTTCCCTATGCCAACACCATGTTCTCCTGTACATGTCCCTGCATCAACAGGAGCCATTTCATTCATCTAGATTAGCATCGTCGAAGGTCTTTCCCTGAGAGCGAGAAGTAGGCACAAGTACGTCTCGTGAATAATGAGACTTGGGAATTTAGAAGAGCTCTTGTAGCGGACTGTGAGTGTGAGACCATGACTGAAAGTTTACAAATGTTTGATACGTCTGTTTACCTCCTAAGTTCAAAGCCGTATGGACCATTAAGTCTGACAGCCTCTTTGCTTCGAGCAGATCTTCCTCACTGCCCTGCTTGACCATAATCAAAGTATGAAAATTTCCGTCACCTGCATGAGATATAACACCCCTGAAACAGAACAGCAGCCAAACTCAGATGAGGTAAAGGGGCCCGTGAGTCTCGTCGACACTTGGTGAAAGGTGAATGAGAAAACGGGCAGCAAGAGATGCTTCCTAAGTCGTGAATATGGAGGTTACTTCTTGACACTCGAACTCTGCTGACAGACACCGACAACCAGAGCGACTTTGCAGTCAAAACTCCTCCATGGGTTTGAACTAGCTGTAAAATCAGTGAATGAACATTGAAACTAAACCACCTTCTAACTGACCATATCGAGTAGTGTACACCTGCGACCGTGCCTTCTGTGAGACAATGACCGTCTGATATTGAAGTGTATGAGAAAGTGGAACGAGAAAACAGACAGAGTTTTCTCACGTTATCAAGCTGGACTTATCAAGTTCGGCTTTGGCTTCCGCAATGCAATCCGCGAGTCTGGACAGCGGCACACACACATCCTGCCACATGTAAAGAGGCTTCATGTTATGTCGTGTCATGTCTTGTTGGAATTCAGAGGGATAGAAGCAAATCATGTACTTCAACCTGGGAATGCAGCAGAGAGAAAGCCAACTCGACTGGACCGCCTGCAATGCAAAACTGGCTGAACAATTGTATTGTACTCATGAAGCCACCATCGGTGCCATGTCAAGTACCGTGGTCAGAATTTCCGCGTCGGACTGTAATGACTGACAAGCCCAAAATAGCTCCTTCCTTATCTGAAACAGGGAAGACGTCAGTGAGAGATGCATAAATATCATCTAAACTCGAAAAGGCTGTACGACTTCCATACTTTGCAGTCCGATATGCTTCCCTAAGGGCAAAATGGTGAACCCAACACAAACATGAGGAGAAATACTTCAGTTCCAGCTGTATCCGGGAGATATCTCTACGACCAGGAGAAACAAGACCAATGACCCAATTTGTGACAATTTTAATCAAGTCCAAAGTGTGAAGTATCCTGAAGAGTATGCACCTTCCAAAGCTCATCCTTCGCCTCTTGAGATTCGGCGTAGGTGAAATTGGACGCACTGTGTTCTTCTGCTATTTTCTTCACCCGTTCCGTTTGTTCGAGAACATATGCTTCTGTTACAATCCATCGTCATTTCAGTGCAGTGGCAGTACCAGGACGATTTCGTGTGAAGGACATCAAACGATGGAAACTATGGTTTCTTTTCAAGGACGACTTTTTTCCAGGTCAGTGACATCGATGTCTTCTGCTATCGAACGATAGATAGAAGATAAGACGGACCTGTTCCGATGAGCTCGAACATGAGAGTAGGCGCTTCCTTGTAATTTTTGCCATTAGCCAAATTCGCTGCTTTCATCATCACTTCATCTAAGAGCTCCACCCTGGATGCCTGCAATTAAGATCAGATATGTGTCAATTATAGAGCCAAAGAAACAAACAAAACGACTCTCCTTCACACACACCAATCTAGAATTTGTTCCACCCAAGTTAATTTTTATGCTGATTACGTGCGGAGGTTCCTTCGAACTGGAACACTGGACGTAGCCTTCTTATGAAAGACCGAGGCACATGAAGAAAGCGTTACCTGAATCCCCGAGTGCATAATGCCTATGGCCACATCAGCTGCATCTTTCACTGAAGGAAAGTTGCACATGGCAACCTGCAGGCCAGTTTAAGGTGTTCAGTAAACAGACAGACGAAACCCACCTTTACGACCTTTGCATTCACACGTCCAGCACAAAACTCAAGGGAGTGATGTGAACTTACAGTAGATGCCTCTGGAAGTTTTTGCAACCGAAGTGTGACTTCTGTGATGATGCCAAGAGTGCCTTCGCTTCCGATCATGAGTCTTGTCAAATCATAGCTGCTCACATGGCGGACGATATAAGCAATTAGGGACCAACAAGTCTTCTAAATACAAGAAACAAATTCACAGTTGAGTGGGTTTCCGACCTAAACCAAAGCAGCAAAGTCCACCCAATATTCAGTTAGTCACTGAGGGGGAGCCAACATTGAACAAGTGAGTTGGACAGTAATGAGCAGAAAAATCCCACTAAACCCACCCGGCAGCACTCTTCCGAGCTCGTGAAGCTGTCTTCACAACATCTCCATTGGCCATCACTACCTGTTATTATTACCACGACAAGAAATGAAACAGCCTCGAAAAGCTTTTGAAGCTGTCGATTGACCCAATACGATGCATCTTTCATTGAAATCCATAGACTGCAGTGGCCTAACTAGCACAGTGCAGTAAAACTGGCTGCAGCTTCCAGTCTAGCAGTAAAGCCATTTGAACTATGTAAAGGCGAATGTGTCACACCTTCAGAGAGATCACATTGTCCCGCATGGTCCCATAACTGCATGCATGTTCAAGAGGCAAGTGAAAAACTGCACTATGAGATCATAAGAATCACACCTATAATGTACGAAAGAATTGCGGTCCACCTCTTCTCTGAGAAGATTAAATTAGATTAGATAAGAAGTAGACCTAGTGGAGGCCGTCGTATTTGCCACATCGAGATGTATCAGGACACTCACCGAACGGCGAGAGATCCAGAACAACGGGTGGCACACATGCCTCCTACTGTTGCACCTGGCCCTGAAAGCACGAAGAGCTAAGCATGAGTAAAAACTCAAACACTGATTTGGAGACGAATTTTAGATTTTTCTCCTCAAATGGTTCGAACTAAACATTCATGTCAAGTCCCCTGGGCTAGCACAAGAATCACCGTCGACATTTGATATGAGGTAGATATGATGTAGTTGTTGATGTCGGTGTCCGTTTCCTTCTGTACTTAGGAGTCAAATGGCATATTGTGAGAAGAAAATTACTGAGTCTGACATTAACAACCAGTCAGATTAATGAGAAACCAAAGGGTCATTAAGAATTTACCTCAGGGCTTAAGAAGGGAATAGCAGGCATAAGCCAACTAAAGACATTAAGAAGTTAAGACTTATTAAGAACATTTTTCCAGTTAAAACCTCAGGCTCAGCTTAGAACCACGAAACTCTCTCTGTACTGTTAGTCTGACTATATAAAAACAGAAGTCAGAATACACTACTTGCCAGTGATCATCGGGTACAAATCACACTTTTGAGTTCTAGATTGCTGAGAAGTAGGGGTGGAGTTGGCACAATAGTGTGGGGAGTGCTATCTAGAGAATTCGGACCTCAGTGTTGCTGCTCATAATCCACCTGAGGTTAGAGGGAGCGTTAGCAAGCTATGGCTGATCCAGGAGAGTTGATGGGAGCATCAGGAACTGCTGGTGGTACGTCTGGATCCTAATCAACTGCTGCAACATATTTAAGAATATCAAAAACTGCACTCACCGGGATCGAGGGGAAAGAAGAGCCCTTTTGGTTTCAGATACTGGTTGAGCTCAATCCACCCCATGCCTGGCTCGACCACCACATCCATATCTTCAATATGCAGCTCTTTGATTTTCTGTTTTGGGGATACAACCCATTTCACGATTTAAGTTTTTGTGAAAGCACGGTCTCATAATTTCATGGAGAAGTCACGAGTGAACGACAGTTTGGCGAATTCTGATATTGAAAGTTTAATTGAATGTGATCTAATTTATTTGGACTAAAATGCGAATTCTGCTGTGCGAGAGCCTTTCACGGAAGTGATAAGTTCCAAGACAGATTTGATGATTACACGAGTCCACGAAGGTGACCATTCTCATCCTATGTACGAAGGCGTACCTTCATTCTTGTCATATCGATGGAAACGCCACCGTGCAAAGCCAATGTGTGACCTTCTAACGAAGTTGCGGCTCCATAGGCTGTTATGGGCACCTGAAACCCGTCTCCAAACCATCATCATCTCTCCACTAAAAGAATTCTGACATAGCTACAAACCTTGACCTTGACGTGTCTCTCTATGATCGTCTATCGAGGCAAGACAACGAAGCAAGGTAGGTTCATCAACCTGTTAGAGCCCTCGATGAAAATTAACACCAACGATTTCGAATCATGTGAAAATGCAGTAGTTCGGATTCGACCACACTGAACATCAAGACTAGAGTTTTCTAGATTTCTGACACTAATGTGGGGGGAGGAACAGACCTTGTACTCTTGGCAAAGCTTGACAATGCTGACGACCTCCTCGGTGGTCCTGTAAATTGCAGCAGTGCCCTCAGTTCCTCATACCCCAGGCAGAAAAGCGAAACTAACTGAAACTCCAGATTTCCAGCACTCCACTTGCATTTTGGAAGCCACAACAATGCAATTGCTCCATGAAGGTAATTCTGCTCTTACTCAGGATACACCACCACGTCCGGTATGTTATCTGCCCTGTGATAGCTGTTCATGTTCTTGCCATGATTGTCTCTCTCATCGAAGTCGAATACAATCCTCTCCTCCTGCCCTTGCCAAAGCGAGTGAGTGAGTCAATGGCGGCACTCAGAGTCCCATTCCCAACCCCTCGTTCAACATAGCTCTGGGTTCAGTAGCAGCAACCTTTTCAATGTGCTGAGATCATTGACTAGCAGCACCTTGTCGGTGAAATGAAACTATGGGGCATCTACTCCATTTGTTCTGGTCTCCCACAAGCCATTCATTCCTCAGACTGTCAGTCATAAAGAGAGAACACAGAGCACCGAGAGAAAGAGAGAAACATACTTCACACACTCCGTGCAACTGCTGGATGAAGGCCTGGGGAAGTCCAGCATGAGCAACCTTCGGGGGAAGCACCAGCTCTCCACTGCACTCAGCAACAGCAACAATCTCTTCATGGCCGGAATGCTGCAGCTCGCTTCAATGGTGGAATTCAGGCAATTCCACGCATTCAAAATCCACGAAATTCAGTCTCGGGAGTCTTCTCTTACCTGCTACTGGCAATCGATTGAGACGAGACCGGGTTCTGTCCAGGATACTGCTTCCAGAGAAGGAACCCCGCAGAAGCACAGACGCCACCGACGACATACTTTCTCCAGCTGGAACTCGACACCGTCTGCTCTGCAACAGACGACGCAGCTCGCCAGGAGGAAATTCGGGCCAACGAATTGGGACTCGCACTGGAGCCAATTCCGGTCGATGCTAACGTGGGACCTCGAGAGCGGAATCGGGAAGAGTGGCGCAGTGGATCGGAGGACGAGTGCGAGCAGGGACGAACGGATCTCAGTGAGGACGAGCACGAGGACGAGAAGATGAAGAGACGAGAAGCTGCACAGCTCGATCTGCGACCGTACGAGGCCATGAGAGCCCCAGCCCGTGGGCGACCTCGAGCGATTCACTGCCAGCTTCCCATGGACACTCTGGAGCCGAAATCCTTCGGACCCTCAAACCAAAGCGATCGCAATTCTCCTGCAGGACCAGGAGAATTGAGAGCTCGAATTTCCGGAAATTCCTTGTTGGACCCGAGCGATCGGTCGGTCCAGCTGGCGCATATTATAAATCTTAATCATACTCCCTCGTCCACGTACTCGGACCTTTCACCTTCGCCAGCCTTTACCTTCTTCCTTGTCAGGCAAGCTCGTCACAAAGTGCATTCCACATGATTTGTACTCTCAGATCCTCTCGTGTTGTCTCTCGTGTTTTGATCTATTCTTCTATCCTGTTGCACCGCTTTGGTTGTAGCTCAACTGGCTTGGAGGGGCCTGTCTACTGCACATCCTAAACTCGATGGGGTATAATATCAGTGTGAAAGTTTGGGCTGGTTTGGTACTCCACGCACATTCGATATATTTTATTTTTTGTAATTGCGTGTTAACTTTAGAGATGTGGATGTATAGAATACTCTTCATGCAAAGCTACGATATGTTTTTTGGTGCATTGCTCCTGGACTAGGCTAGAGATTTATCATTTATCTTGGCCAATTTTCACGACTCATGTATACTCTTTCCTACCGCAAACTCATGGATTTTGGGTTTTAGCTTGAAGGTTTAGGTTTAGCTAAGTGAGAGAAGTGATCGCCTCGAAAAGATGACGAAAAGTGTTGAATGTGCTGCGTTTATTGGTTTCGATGTTGGATAAGTGAGTAGTTTAGAACGCACCTTTCATGTTTTACCTCTGGTGGAATTGCGTTGTTTGTTGGACCGCAGAACCTTTCGTCCAAGACATTGTCATGCAGCTTCGATAAAATGTCCACTGTTTTGTTCTAATAACTCGGTGGCAGGTATTTCTCATGTTCAGGATCGTTTTAAGACAAATCCATGATGAAAGGTTACATAAACCATACGATTTGAAGTAGTTCGAAGAAGAAGAAATATACAATATGCGATGAACAAACACACGCGCATGCACGCACACACATAGACATTGGATAGTGCAAAACTTTAAACCTCATAAGAGTGTTTGTAAGAAAGCTCCTAACTCCTAGTGGGACTATAACTGTCAACTTCCACATTGACAACATAAATCTCGACTGTCATGATTGATTTCTGACATGCACTATTCGAGTTATAACCAAGCATGGCACTTGACAAGTGAAGAGGTGGTGAGTTATGAGTAGGAAGCGGTGCGTTGGAAGATGGACCTCTTCCAGAAAATACGCTTCCATAAATCAGCATATTTCCACCCAATGCCTGTTGGGTGCAGAAGAATGATCCCACTAATATTGCTCTACAACGGTGAGAACGAGTATATCCAAAAAATCTTGGGTTTAAACTTCGTTGTGAGTCTTGAACAAAAGATAAAGTTTAAGCTTCTGACTTCGGCAAAATGTTCAAGAGAGTACTTTCCTACGATGGTGTGCACCGTCCCACCATGGTACGTTTCAATCGTGTAAAGAATGAATATTCTAACATGCTTGGATCTGATGTCTAAGTCATGCAAAAAATGGGGTAGAAGATGGAATAAGCATTTGGGACAACCGACCTGGAATGCATCAAAAGTGGCTGGACTCCTCAGTTTCGACGACTCAGCCCACTCAAGGTTCAAACATACTCTACTCTGAGGAACTCGACCTTGTGAAAGTCGTCCAGTGACTGACTTCTCATGTCCGGAGTGAACCTGCCAACGTCCAGAAGTAGAAGGTATCATGAACCGAATTCCCCACGAATGTAAGTCCCTCTCGAAGAACTTTATGAGCCCATCCCTTCAACTTCTGTTCACAGCCCGAACGGTTCCTGATTCTTCTTGCGGCTGAAAATCAGGTGCCACGTCCATTTCCGCGGCTGGCTGTTGCCACAAAGAACGAGAAGATAACGAGCTTAGAGTGCTAGATCGCATTTGGGAAACGCTTCTAAAACCGGGATGAGCACTTCTTTAATCACGGCAAAAGAACCAACAAAAGGATTAAAATCTGCAAAACTTGTTACATATTGCTTCTGTATGGGTCAACTATAGTACCTGCCACCACTGAAGAAAGTGCCAAAAAATGTAGTCCATGATTACAACTAGACAAAATAGCTTTCCTGCCCATGGTCCACATGCGTAGTACCTACAACAGAGTCAAAGATATTCGTGAAGTCATTGGATAATTATCTTCCAGAATTACCTAGTAGGTAACCTTTTCAAAACTGAAAACGACACAAGAGCCAAATGAGAGCAGATCTTTGTCTCGTGTCAAACGTGAGTCCGGACGCATATAGTGTTGCAGAAATCTCATGATGAAACGGGATGGTTCAAGACACGACATCTGCTCTATGGCAGCATCATACCTCTCAAGTCGCTGCAGAAGATCCTCATTTTCGGTGTTCATTGCATGTGTATAAACGGTTTCCGTTCTTTCTGCCACATCCGGCCAGCTGTAGAGAGTCCGCATCTGAAATACACAGAATTGGTCAATAAGAAAAACGTTCTAACATTTGCTGAAATCTGTTCATAAATCATTTTGCTTTTGTTAAGCTTGAGCACCAATCGACCTTAATGAGATGAGAAGCGCCTGCTGCTAAGTGGACAATGTTGCTTTTCAGTCACTTCACATGCCTAATCTAAACTATCTCGTCAGATCAAATACCAGTTACACATTGTCCAGACGTCTTGGATGATACAGTTGATCATGGAAGGTGGCAAAGGCACGAAGTGACAAACTAGAAGTACACAGAAGCTGTGTTCGAGTATAAATCAGCAAGCGTAACAAGCAGTCCCTTGACGGTGAAGCTATGATATGTAAGTTGTTGTGAGGTCAAAACAGGATGAGAACAGATAGATCAGAATGTCAAAGAGCCGATTAAGTCAGAGTTGGTTCCATGAAGGTCATATTCGATAACAACGTGACACAACAGAAGCTCCCCTATAATTACTTGGTTCACTTTTTGCCACAAAGACTACTGATATTATGAAGAACAATTTGCAAAAACAATACCTGATTATGCATCGCAAAGGGATCGACATTTGGAAGAAGCTCGATTGCTTGAGCTACAGCTACAACCATTCGTGAAGGTATCGGTTCGGCCAAGACAATATACTCAGGTGGTAGAACCTGTAGCAAAATTATTTAAAGATCCGAGGTCACAGGTCTGCTGATTATAAAACAACCGGGTGGTAGGAAGCGGATCACAAACAAGCCTAATACCATCGTAAATAATCACTTAAGTTCAGCACTAAGGGCCATAGAATCCATACATGCCTCTGGAACACCACCAACTTTTGTGCTCACTGTGAGCAGTCCACAACACGCAGCTTCCACTATTGCGATGCAGAAAGCCTCGGTCAAGGAACTGAAATGGGTCAATATACCACTTAGAATATATCATATGAAAACAACAATATATCACATCAAATGTAACAAATATCCATTCACAAATTGTATTTCATCTAGTAGACAGGAAATTGATCAGTCCAGTCTTACGTTAAAGATCAGACATAAGCACAGAGATCAGCGCATGTCACAAAGAACGCATGGTGTAGGACAAAGGAGATATCAGAGGGCTTTACGGTCTTTCCAAACAGTAGTCATTTAGTTCTTGGAGAACCTCAGGCCTAAGTAGCATGAGGATGCCGTATTATGTGGATGTTGCTAGTTCCTTCACATAAGTACAAATCCAGCTGTATGCCTGTTCACCTAAATTTCGATGAGAATGCGAACGAATAATCACGAAGCATATTTGAAACTGAAAATTGTTATCTGAATGTCTCATTCGGTAAGCAAACCAACCTGTTGAGAAATATATGACCGCGTACAAGACACTTTCGCACATCAGAGTGGGCAACTGCACCGAGCATCTCGACCCGATCTTGCAGATGATACTTTTCTCTCATTTCTTCCAGTCGAACTCTCTTTGGTCCATCCCCACCGATTATAAAGTGAACCTAAATGCACCCATTAAAGCATACAGAAGTAAACAACAAATATGCACCGCTTTGGCTGGTCATTAATAAGTGTTCTCAGCACAGCCACTATAGGTAGCTAGTGAGAAGACGAAACGAGGGTAAGGATCACTACATCTAAAAAAAAAAAGTTCTCCATCTCTGACCCTGTATCATCTTGAAGGGCCTCTTGAAATAAAGCAATGGAAGTGACAGCAAAGTTGAGTCATGTCAGAAAGTTGTTCAACCCTATTGACACCAAACATGGTACCGCTAATCACAGAAAAATGTTCATACCTGTGGAAACAACCTGCACACTTCCGGGATGACCTCCACGAGCAAATCAGCGCCCTTGCGATACACTAATCTACTGATTATCACTATAACGACCTTATCCTTGATACGCTTGCTGGGATCTGGCTGAAACATGGCAGTGTCTACAGCATTTGGAATCACAAAGATCTTCTCAGGGGGGAGTGTAGACCTCAAATGCGTGTTTTCTTTGCTGGTGTGAGAGACACATATTGCTTGCTGAACATCAGCAAGAGTATACTGTAATACTTTATTCATGTGGATGCTCCCCACATCAGCGAATCCACAAAGAGAATGGTCTGTGAAGACGGTTTTATACCCCATGGTACGTGCGTGCATTATAGCCTCGTGACACAAGGTCGAGAAGGCTTGATGTCCATGGACAATCGTAATTCGCTCCCGCAACATTATTGTCCGAAAAATTGGAAACGTTCCAAACAGAGTCGGAAATGAAGTTTGTAGATAAAATGGCAACCAAGGAATGTAGTAAACCTTGAGCCCATTGGTCATGTACCGCACGCCACTCCTCCGTCCATATGCGTGCGTTGCGACCACCACCTAAATATGACAAGAAGAATTCAACTTTGCTTCACTAGACGAGAGAGTTTTCATCTGGTTGAAAAATGTGATCTGAAACAGGGATCTGACTACAATCGATCACATCGTCGCAAGATATGTCGACATAAATATACACGGCAATCGCTTACCTTATGCCCACGCTGCATAAGGCATTGGGCGAGATAGAAGATATGATTCTCAACTCCTCCAAAATTGGGATAGAAAAAATCCGACACCATGAGCACGCGATGAAGAGGCCTTAGCGGCTCGTTCATGTTTGCTTACGCCCCAGGCACCAACGACCCCGGCCAGCATTTGAAACGAGACGAATGTCGGGGTTCAACAACGCTGCGACCAACAAGTGCACCTGTTTTCCATCTCATAGCAAAAGCTGGCATGTGCAGCGTTTGACGGAGTTGCCCACATCACAATCCTCTGTGCTACACAAATTGAGATGGCCTCCAATCCATAAGATACACAAAACCTCTCCGCGCAGAGCTCAAGACCACTCACTCCATGATTCAGTAGTAGCAGCAGGGGTAGCAAGGCGTGCGGTTCGCGCTCTCATTAAGCTCTCTATCTCACGCCTCTAGTGAGACCTTTCATGACTGTCCTGTCACGACCAAAATCAGATACCGGCAGAGAATTTAGTCTGCTGGCTGATTGGCCGGCGGTTTCTGCGAGTGGGCCACATGGGAGAAGAATGTCAGTTGAATTCATCCATCCTTCCATCAGATGAACCATGTTCGTCAGGATTACCAAATTGTCGGATCTTTGCAGCGTGCGATCATTGCACTCTTCAAGGCCGTTACTGAGTGGATCAGTGGCCCATGATGTCAGCGAGTGAAATCGATGAAGAATCTGCAAGCTGCTCGAGAGTGATATTCATCAGTTGACCACAGTTCACACTTTCCTGCAGATCTGAATTCTCGACCGCAGGATCTTGCTTTGCTGGGACACGGCCCTTGTGTAGCGAGTCAATGTAGAGAACTAACGATTTAGAGCAATGCACCAGAGCAGGGTAGATGATTACAATTTCAGTACTCCTTTCCTTCTTGAGTACTCATTTTCTTTCGTTCTCGCACGGCTTGACGGCGCTCTTCCCATCCTACCAGCTATTGGACTGGTCCCTCTTTGTGTTACAAAACAACAGCTTGATGAGGCAGCTTGGTGGTGGTGATGTGCAGTTTTGGTGGGGCTGCCTCAATGCAGTACCTGTGGATGCTCATCAAGATCTCGTGTACTAAGCCAGTTGTATGCGAAGTGCAACGGAAACTGATTCTTGTAATACTTCTACTCGAGACAAAACTTTGCTAAAATCCTTCAGTAGTTGTGTTAATACTGTCCAACTAGTTTCGTTAAGATGCTTCTCACAGATGTGAGGATCCCAAGTCTGGTTGAAGAAGATTCTGCCACAAGGGTACGAGCCAGAACATGACAACTGACGTTAATCTGTGACATGCATGCAGTCGGCACTAGCTCGGAAGGTTCGTCTTTTAAAGGTTTATCAGAATGGACAGACTGGAGTACAAGTCGGTCACCTGCCGTAAACCGAGGCAAGTCCAGCTTTGCAACAAACGCGTTTGTTCAGAATACATGTCTGCCGCTTGTGGTGTGCTAAAGGCCATGGATCGGTCATTCTTTCCCCTTGAGAGCTGCACTTCAACCTACCTCGCCTGCCAGGTATATAAATGTCAATGTTGAATTACTGGATAATTGTGGATGTCCACTGGGTTGGATGTCAATGCTGAAGTACTGGATACAGATATACAGATGATACAATCTCATCACGCTTAATAATAAGAGTGCACAATGAACAATGTTTATTTCTTTGGGACTAAATGCAGTTCTGTTACTAGTTTTTTTCACAAACTGTACTTTTTCCTATTGCTACAAATTCACGTTTTATTCATTTCCACAGAACACGCTGCAAAGACATCTGAATTCTTTGGTACATAATCGTATTTACTTCTATCGTTGCGTCCTCTCGTGAGCTGAGTGCTTCAAAGACCTAGCTCGTCTTCAAGCAGCATATCAGTTCCATTGTGGCTCTCCATTACAAAGCTTGGAGACATTTGAATACAGAATCTACAGTTTAATGGACTCAATACACGAAACAATCCCTATAAAAGGGGTGATAAGGCAGGACATCTCTTCCTGTGTGGAGGCTCGTTTTTGAGCTTCGGTCTGATTCGCAAATATACATCCCATTTAAGCTGGGAAAGAGTGGCAACTGTCATACCCTGACAATCAATATTACAATTCACTCGATTTCGGCCTCTGTCCGGATTTGGACGACACCTAACGTAGTAATATGTGGCATCCGCGACTTTATCAATCCGGACTGACCCTGTCCACCTGAAAAAACATCATTAGACAAGGCTTTAACATCTCTACTGTTTGGCAACAAGATCAACTACTGTAGTAGATTACTAGCTTCTGTAGTAATTGATGTAAAATAATCTATAAGGAGGCTAGTGTGTCGTTCAAAGATCAAGTTCAATTCTTAACAACCATAAACCTTCTTCCGTACCTCAAGTGAAGGGGAGGATGCTTTGGACTTGTAGGCATACACTCCTCCAGGTTCGGCGTCGTTGGTAGGTATCATCCACCTTCCCAACAATCCTTGCATAAGTGTATCCTGCGGTATAAGTGTTTGCCCCAGTCCGTTTTCCAATGTCGTTTCATTAACGACGGTGTCGATTCGAGTGTGGTGAGTACCTGATCTGGACCCTGGGGGCATATCCCTCATAACCCAAAGCACGACAATGGCCGGAATGGATTCACCTGCAAAGTCGACAGGGAATCAACACTTGCAACTAGTGTGCACAACCAAGCAGGAATGAAGAAGTGTTTGTGAAAACATTTGTTTGCCAGAGTAACAAGGAGCCCTGTGAGCTTGCTCACATTACTCTATTATGTCGTACCTACAAAGTAGTACAAGAAGGTAGATAGGGCAGCAAGCTTCTTGTTCTCTTGCCGTACATGCCAAATGTTAATCACCTGCATTGAGAGGCATCCATACATCAGACGAGATCCTAAACACAGCTATCCGACTGCGTTTTGGTGAGAACTGCCAGATTCTCTCTCTTGTAAATTTGAAAACGAAGACTTTTCACTGTACATGCTAACACAAGGGGTGCTTACCGGTATGTCACTTACGAAGACGAGTAATGCTCTCAGCGTAAAACACACCACAGAAACCACAGCTAACCCTGCAACCTTCAGTACATCAACACAAACAACAATGCACGCCCATGTCAATTGATATGATCGACATTTCAGGATTCTTTGCACGCGAAGGTGGGTTTGACCACACCGAACATCAACAATCATGAGTCGAATACTTCATGTATGAAGTCGTCAACCTACCTTAGTGATATCAGCAGATTGTTTTCCTGACCTTAACTTGCACATTTTATGATATAATGTCAGCCCTGCGAATAATTCAACGGTGATCAACATCCAGACATCAGAAAGTCATCTTCGGAGCAAGAAGACTGATTGAAAAACTCCACGGAGGATTGCATATACAGGATAAATGAAACACATCCTGATTCACATCATGAGCCTCGTTGAATGATGTCCATGTCACACCTTATAAAACACAAGGACTGGCTCCAGACAAACTACAACATTTTCTGCTTGACACTTGTGATGGCCTTACCGTAAACGGCTAGTCCTCCTCCTGACAAAAGTATCACTACTGCATAAAAGTAAGAATACACCTGCGAGAGATCATGAGATATACGTCAGCTACCATCAACGAGCCCAGATTGTCAAACACAACCTGAGAAAACGTTGCATATGTATTGAGCTCATATCCAGAGAACCATTAAGTTTAGCAAACCTACTTATATTCTGCCCGCAACTGAATTTCCACTTGATTCACAATACGCCTCCAAATTAGAATTCTCATGATGGAAAGTTTAACAAAAATAGGAGACATCACACCAGGATTAAAAGGGCAACCTTACCTCAGCCAAAGTTGCTGAGTCGACCACATTGTCCCCCATTCCGTACCAGATAAGAATAGCAAATGCTGCCGTCAATGCACACATCAAAGCCACCGCCTGGATGCAGACAAATGTACGAATAGTTCAGTAGTATTCTTGGCTAACCCAAAGGCATCTGACATTACTTTCCTATCAGAATGATGGCTCAAAGCAGATAACTGAGTGTACTAGTCAAACAGTACACCATGAGCTGGGCTTTTCAATTTTGAAGTTGATTAAAAACATTCTATATCCGGCTATAAATGAAATGTAGCGAGCGATTACATCACACAACTCTAAGAGAGTAACCCTAGACACAACTGCATATTCTGAAGTAACACATCTTATTTCAAATATGAAAAGTTCTGCCAATTTAAAATGCAATAATCCAGTCTCAAGAGAGAATTCACGAACCGCAATAACAAACTTCTGTCGGCCGCGCACTCGAAGTTTCTTTATGCATATACAACATCTCCTATGTTTCTCCACGTGCTGTAATCTAACAACTGGAGATGAAGGAGGAACTGCGGTGTAGGTTTGATTTTCATCCTCGTCATCATCATCCTCTTCTTCTTCCTCCTGATCTGTGGCTTGATGGCAAACATCAACCCTGAGAGACACCACTACTTTGTTAGGGCTAGCCGTAAACTCCTCGCAATACACTAATCAAGGTGTACAACATAGGATCAGCTTAACCAGTACTGTATTGTGCTGTATGTATGACTTCATACTTATGACAAAATACAAAATGATCTGTGAAATCCTTGCAAAAGGAAGTCAAATCTTAAAAGGTACTAAATTGTTGTTCAATGCTTCGGTTACAGGTGCAAAGCACAACAAGTTGCTCAGGAAGCACATTCCAAGTCCTCATGATATAGTTTTCTCAAGTATGCTGATATTCCAGTTTGATGGGCTACTATTTACTATGTCAAGAACTTTTTAGGCAACTATGACTAGCTCACATTCATCCTTTGGAATTATCTCCTACAGTTCGAAAAAAGTTACTATTGTCCGACATTGCAAGTTGCAATGTCGGACATAGTATTATCTTGATCATCTAAACTTTCAACTACATAAAAATTGACTGCATTGCACCTCCGACACTGGCTGAACTGAAAGACGGATGCTAGTATAGACCAAATGGCTTTATTCGACAGTGGTGAAGGGGCAAGTACCAGAAAGAGAGCAGTAGCAAGAAAGTTGCCAAAAAAACAATCTGAGGAACAGCTGCATGACCACACAATTTATGTAGTTAGTAAATCCTTATAACAAAACTCAATATTGTGGCTTCATGCATGAAAAAATAATATAAAAACAGGTCTTTCAATGTTTCCCTTGAGATAATCTATGCACATCACTTGAATTTCAACTAGGAAGCTGATTACAATCAGATTAGTGGTAGAAAACAAAAAAGTAAAAGTTGTACTTTCTCTACCCTAAAACATAAAGACAAAACGTGACCTGATATTTGTGAATGTCCTAATCATGAATGATCAGAGCGGAGAAAGATGAAAGCTTAAATATCTTGGGTTAAATTTAAGCGCCGAAGATAAAAACGAACTATGAAATATAGTAAAAAATTTACAATGTAAGCAAAGTCTTTGTACTTTTATAGAGACCAGAGAGCAGCTGGAAAGCATACCTATAAGGACAAATCCACAAGCATGGGGCCAGCAAGGCCAATCTCCACATGCGGCTTGAGGGTTCAAGACAAAATACACCGTGTATCCTGTCATTAAAAACGTGTCTTCTCAGTTGTCGTCCATGATGTACAGACTGATGATGTCCGTATTCAATGAAGAGAAAAAAAGGTCAGAAAATCTTCCACCCAACCTCTACGCATATTAACAAATAATAACACATCCTCCTTGAAATTCTAGCTAGCCATAGCTACAGTGATACATTTACTGGTTTAGTTCAGCAGGAATCTTGTTCTTAAAGTATAACGGAGTATACGCACCACATGTGAACCATCGAATCAATAACAATAAAGAGAAAGGGGAGAAGATCTGGAGTCCGATGTAGGGGTCTATGTTGGAGCCAAATCTACCGTTATAGCTTAAAATCACATAACGAGAACATTTATTTTGGAAACATGTAGGGTTACTGAGTTGCTTGACTGATCAGAAAAGCGGAAGAGGAACTTAGGTTGAGCTGCGTCTGACGTCTCAGATATCTGATGAGATCTTCATTCAATCTATGCAACTGATAAAAAGGTCCATGGAGCCAAGGGAATCATTTACAACAACAACAATGTCGAGGGAGATAGTGACCCATACCCAGGTTTGATGCACCTATTAAACAATGAAAGACCTGAACAACAAAAGCGAAAACATGTATCAGCAAAACAAAATCCAGGATGCACTTCTTACAGATGACTTAGACTTAAATCCCGGGTTCAGTAATATTTTTTCCAAAATGTTACTGAACCCGAACTGGCTATCCAAAGTTCATGATATTTCTCAAAACTTTCTCCCATCGCAAAGCTTAGTTGTTAAAGACAGTGAAGACAATTGCAGTAAACGACTCAAAATTGCATGACCTTCGAGACCTTTTAGCACAAAGCACGGTAGAAACAAAACTCTATCTTTTAATTAGAAATAACTCTAAAGCGGAGCAAACCTTTTGTCGTGTCCAAACATTCTGTCGACTATGTGTGTAAAGCCTGAATAGCTGCACAAGTCGATAGCAACATAGAATTGGTTACACGTTCTGGCTGATGAACATGAGAGTCAATCCACAAATTTGAAGTAAAAAATAGGCTGATGCGTTGAGGTTAAGCCTAATTAGACAATCACCGAATCACTCGACAAATTATGGCCGAAGATATAAGAGACTGAAGATATGACATTAGTGCTAGCGTTCATCCAACGTGTCCATGAAGTCAACGACAACACAAACATATTCAATTATCCATACGTCACTGCGTGACCGAAGTAATGCCAGGGTTTAGTTCCGCTCTAATATCTCTTCTTTACCTCAACCAAAACATAATGTTGGGCATGATGATGAACTCGATCGAATTTTGAGCCAACATTTGTAAGTCTGTTAGGCAAATTAAAATTCTACCGGTATGGTTGACTGGTGTGAGAACAGTAGCTGCCGAGTCGGGACTGTCACAATTATTCTATTCAGTACAAAGCGAAGTAAAAATCTTGCGCTCCGCTGCAAAAGCTCTCCGTTTCTTAACTCTCTCCTTTCTCCAGAGCTATAAAATTTTCACTGCAACATGGAAAATTGTAGAGAGAAATTGGGATTTTCTCTTTCGATTAGTTTAGGTGCGTTGTTCGCGGGGTCCTCCTCTCATGTATATGACTTTATGCAATTGATAGCTTGCCCTCGTAGGCGATATAAGAAGACCAGGATGGCCAGAACGAAGGTAACAACAAGTGAAAGTGGGATCTAGCACAGCATACAGTGATCCAACCTGGTGGGAAGTCCATGCAAGATCGCGCAGCTACAAGCTATCCATTTCGTCAACAAAAGTCGTTAGTGCCCTCGCGTCTAAATTTCATGAAATCAGTAAAAGGTTGGTCTACTTTGGATCAGCGTAATTTTCTGTTCACAAGATGAGAGCTCTGTGACGAGAGGCAAGTAGAATTACTGCTTCCTGACAAGGATAAGATCGCCGCCGCTAAACTGACCAGCCACCACCTGTCGTTTAGGTGACGCGCCAAGTGGTGAGTGCCAAATTATACAAACTACTGTGGTAAACAATCGGAATTCTCCACCTGAGAGATAGTACTTTCCACGTGAATGCGGGTCGGAGCGGCGACCTCAGCTTGGAAAGACTTATCGGTACACTGGATGTGGCTTCTCCCTTGGGTTATATTCCAGAATATATCGTGGTAACGAATTGGGTGTATTATTAGACAGGACATGGTCAAAGGAAATTCCGTGCGCATTGATGTCGTCTGAATTAGACTTGCCAAAGTCGGACGAGCCCAGTGAAAGCGAATGCTCAGCGAATATCGGACTTCTTGACACAAATTCAAGTGTGAGCGAAGGTCAAATCATTGCACCGTGTGAAAGGGGACGGGAGGCAACGGGCAAATACCTGGACAAACGCTGCCACAGCGATCACTCCATCAATTCCCGCCAGAGAAGCGTAAACCACAGTTTCTGCCGTGCTCAGGCACTGGCTCACATCCATGCTCGCCCACGGCGCCACGACATTTGGTGGAACGACGTGCTTCACAACGTCCAGAAATTCGTGGAACATCCGTCGTCATGCACCAGCCCAAGTCCCGATGTGCGCTCCACTCTCGCTACCTATCCCCGTCGCCGGATACCTCCAACCCAATCTGCTGTTTCTCTTGAATGGCACGTCTACCGAAATCATCCGAATCCCAAACGCTTGAAGCGAGCATTACGACCACTGCCCTCCTCTCCCTGCCCTTCCCTTCCCTTCCCTTCAACTTCTCTTCTCGTTTCTTCTCGTCTCGTCTCGTCTCGTCGCCTCGTCTCCTCTCTTCTCGTCGCCTCGCCTTCTCGAACAGAGCTCCTCACCGAGCGAAAGAGCTTTTGCTTCTACACCACCCGGAGATTGAATCAGCCCCTAATCCCGACCACCGCTCGCCCTCCACTCGCTTGTGCACGCTGCACGCTGCACGCGGCACGCGGCTCCGAGGTGCGACCAATTGCCCCCGAATTACGAATTCTGCGCGCTCAAAGCACCACCGAGAAGTCGAAGCAATGGCCGACCGGCGCGCTCATTGTCCCCAATAATTCCCCGTCGTCGCCTCCTCAATCGCATTCACTCCTCTCGCCAAAACTCTGATCGCCATCCGCCGCTGCTCTTACTCCATTCCCTCTCCTCTCGTCACCTCTCCTCCCCATCTACCGCTCGTGCCGTCGCTCCTCGTCCTCCCGCTGCCGCTGCTGCTGCTGCTGCTTCGCTCTCTCTCTCTCTCGCCCTCCCCCTCGCCCTGCCCTGCCCTGCCCTTCCCTGCCCTTCCCTTGCTTTGCTTTCTTTCTTGCTGCCCCTTCCGCTTCCCCTGGCCCTGCCCCTGCCCCGCGGCCCCGCGCCTCGCCTCTGGCGTCTATGGTCTCAACGTGCAGCTCGAGTACTAGAGAGAAAGTCCAGTGCTCCGGGTGGCACTGCGAGCAAGCTGTGCTGCCTCCTAATCTGCACGTGGCGCCACGCTCTTGGACTTGGCCAGCCACACAAGCTCTCTTCCGCTCCTTTGACCGGTTCCGGCCAAATCTGCCCCCAGCAGCACCAACAGCAGCAGCAGCAGCACAGGGCCTCCGGTCATCCGGTCATCCGGTCGGCTCGAATGTTGATAGAAGGATGGATGGATGGATGGATGGATGGGCGGACGGATGGCCGAGCCACGGTGGCAGCGAATCCCGCCGGACGGGAGCGCAGAGCGTCGGCGCGGCAGGCGAGGCGAGGAGTACGAGGACAGATTCCATTCGCCGGCGTCGGCGTTCTTGCTGCCGACGACGATCTTCGGGCACGATCGGGTCCGGAGCTGGAGAGGAGAGCGCGCGGGGGCTTGCTGGGGGGAACGAACGGGGGGCAAGGCAAGCGTGGCCAGCCAATGGGCAGCCGGATGAAGCTGCTGATATAGATCGCAGATCATCGAGCGAGCGAGGCCGCAGGGGCGACAGGCATCGTTGGCTGGTGCGCAACTCGTGGGCCCTACGTCTACGTCTACGTGCCTGCCTGCCTACAGCTACAAGCCCCCCCCCCCCCCCCCCTTAATGGATCCCATCTATTGGGAGGGCCACAAGGCGAGGCGACTCGAGCCCCCATCGTTTCTTCCTCCCCCTTGCCTGCTCTTGCTGCTCGGGACCTCGAGGGGATGCGCTGACAGAGAGAGAGAGAGAGAGATTGGAAGGCTTTAGGGCGAGGAGGGAGGGGGGTTACTGCATGCTGAGGCGCAGTCGAGCGCTGCACACGTCGGGGAGCCGAGGCCATGGGGCGGACAATTGTCCTGCTCCTGCTGATCGCGCTCTGCCCCGGAATCGGTCTCGTACGGAGTGCGAGAATCGAATGCCTCGTGGCTGGGGACGCCACCGCCGCCCGTGATCGTCCTGCGCGTGGAAGCGAGCTGGAGATGCCGGGGCATCTGGTTGAATCTCGACGCAATTGTAATGTGGTTGATTACGGTGCCAAAGGGAATGGCGAGGATTTCGATACCGCGGCCATGCAGGAGGCGATCGATGACTGCGCCTGCTGGGGTGGTGGTGGGAGAGTTCATGTCCCCCCCGGCAATTACCTCACCGCCACGCTTTTTCTCCGGTCCAACATCGAGTTGTACGTCGAACGCGGTGCCACGATCTATGGCAGCCCCGCTCAGAGTGATTACCCAGCGTCGAGCTCACGGTGGTACGTGCTTCTGGCCGAAGGCGTGCACAATGTGCAGATCACGGGCGGCGGAACCGTGGACGGCCAAGCGGATAAGTTCGTGGTACGGGAGGACCCGAAGAAGAACGTAATGGTGAGCTGGAATACGACTGGAGATTGTGCCGGTGATGAATGTCGACCTCGGCTGATCGGCTTCCTGGACAGCACAAACTTCCAGCTGCGAGATTTGTATCTCCATCAGCCTGCGTACTGGTGGTAAGACACTGTCAGTTCATAGTCGCACAGTTTTGGCTCCACGTCTGATGACCTAAATCTGCACCTCTCAAGCTCCAGACCCGCTCATCTTTTAGGTGACAACTTGCCTGCCGTTATGAGCCACATCCCTTCGACCACCGAAAATCGAGACATGTTTTATACATTTGTGTAGATGTTGTTAATTTTTGTTTGCGGAGAATCTGGTTCCAACAACTGCAAAAGAACTTGGCTGGATTTTGACAATCAGGTCGATTATTGTCGAATCAGCGTGCTCAATGGTAGCTGACACGCTGTAATCGGGAAAACCCTCCGAAACGAGATAGCAATGAACTTGAAAGCTCTTGGCTAGGAGCCGAAGGGAATGGAATTTACACCTGATCGACTGATCGGGGAGAGTACAGCGAGCATCTGGGAACTAGAGAACTTCAAATGCAAGGGTAGAGGAAAGCCGGGGCTAAAAAGAGAGCAATAATTCAGCTGTTAATGACTGTTCCCTTTGCAGGCCAGTCATTGAAACTATGTGTCAGGAGCGCTCAGAGACGTCAGACCGAACCGAACAATAGCAAGTTCATTTGGAACAAAAGCTTTTGTCTTGAACCTATAATTGAAGACAAAAGCTTTTGTTATAAATGTCTTACAAAATGTGCGCGACCTATGAATGTGAATCAAATCGAGTTCAATTTCTGAGACTGTCAACGACAGATAGAACTCAGCATTATCGCTGTCTGGCCAGGTGTCAGGAATTTTGAAGTTTGGAGAAACCGTAGACTGCAGACTTACACTACGAACACCGATGTTATGAGCAGAAACACAACGGAGAAGATATTTATTGGTGAGATCCGTGCACTGAGCCTTTCCACTCTGATTAGACATTACTCATATCACTTGTAACGCATGTGTCTAGAAAGAGCCCATCATTACGTCTGCTATCAGCATCTCTTGCAATAATGGCAGTTTCTTCATATCCCTTGCCTCTTCCCTGGTCGCTGGAAATCCTAAAGCCGTGCCTTGAGGTCTGTTGGAAGAGGTTTTTAAACGCTGAATCATATTGTAGTTTTTGTGACATACCTTTTCAGAAGCTATGTGAGAAACGCTAAGGAGTGGGCTAAGATTAACAGCGGGGCCGTTGACATATGATATGTGGACAAAGCGTGTACTTTATAGTTATGAATAAGACAGAATTTTAAGATAGAAGTCCGGAGAACGAGCTTCTTTTATTTTGGTTTGGAGGATTATGTCATGTATACTCAAATATGTTTCCAAATCTACAAAATAGTGGCGTGGACAGGAAGTGAGCTGTTCGAGCAGGAGCCAGAAGTGCGATTTGAGTAGCCAGAAGTGCGATTTCAGTAGCATTGTTGGCATGTGCAGTTGTCTGACAACTCAACGTAGGCTGATTGCATCAAGAGTTGCTGGTTGGTTACATCTTCGAGAGTTCAGTATGGACGAAACGAAAGTTTCGGTTGATTGCTCTAAGAGCTGCTGGTTGGTTACATCTTCGAGAGTTCAGCATGGACGAAACGATAGATTCGGGGGTTGCGTTCACTTCTATTTTGTGTGCTTCTCCTTCATCTTTCGTTTACGGTCCCACTGGAGCCAGTTTTACCGCAGTATCGCTCTTCAAGATCACAATCTCTATCCCTGGATAGGGTTCGCAAGTTTTATATCCGCTTAGCAACCAGTTGTTCAAAGTGGGTCTTCATGTACTCATTCGCTGAGCGTGAGGTGGCTGATGTAGACATTCAGGAACTTGGGATTAGGAGAGTGAGAACCTTGATTTAGATCGTGTTATTGACTTGTGATTTAGTTATTTATTATCGTTCCCAACCTGCACTGTAAACCCCTTGCATTTCTTGTCTGGCACTAGCGTCGTCCTCTGTACCTTCTCACTGTTTCTAGTTTACGAACACCTTCCCACCACAGATGTTACCTCCTTTGCAATGTTGGAAGTTATATTTCCTTGTTCATCCGTATGTCCCACTACCTGTCCTGGTCTGTATAAATCTAATTTTCAGTGAACGTTGCTCGTGACTAATACTATTTCGTTTTCAAATCTTTTGTTTTTTGGCAGCTTACACATTGTCAGATGCAATGAAGTGCTGGTTGAAAATGTGACCATATATGGGGACTTCAATACGCCCAACAACGATGGCATTGACATTGAAGATACCAACAACACACGCATCGTTGGCTGTCATATCGATACTGGTGATGATGCAATTTGTCCCAAAACATACGCAGGTCCTCTGTATAACTTAACAGTAACGGACTGTTGGATCAGAACAAAATCATCTGCAGTGAAGTTCGGCAGTGCCACATTTCACGACTTTCATGGACTGCGCTTCGAAAGACTCACGATTAAAGACTCCCACAGAGGGCTTGCATTTCAACTTCGTGATGGAGGTATGATATCTTGTCGCACTCCGACAGTAGTTGTATATGCGCTTTTTCTACCGCATGTACAAGATTATCTTGCACATATTTGGAGCATAGTATGTGATGGAATCGTGTCAATGCTTGGTGATGGCAGAGCTTTGTATTTTGTAGAATTGCAAGTATGCTTCTACAGAGTATTTGCAATTCTGTAAAGCATTATGTATGTTTAGAAGAAAGTCTCTTATACTTTAGCAGGATTCATTGTTAGGTTTTTAAGCAAACGGAGAAATCAGAGATGGTGAAGTCTTAGAATTTATGTGGAGATATTTCTCTGCCTCAGAATGCTTCTCCAGACAAAATTGTAGGAGTATTTGTTGGCATCCTTCATCCTTTTTCTTTTATTCCAAAAAACGAACAAGCTCTGTGCTTTGCTAGTGTACCCACTTCATTTCTAACAAATTGTTTCACTTTCCTCATGGCACAAATTTGAGGAAGTAGAATTTCTAATTGTCACCGTTTTTTTATTCGTTGGTTGTGCAGGAAGTATCTCGGACGTGGTGTTTGCAAACATAGAAATGTCAACTCGATACTATCACCCATCATGGTGGGGACGTGCAGAACCAATATATATGACAGCTTGCCCACGGGATAGCGAAACAGTGGTCGGGTCCATTTCCGATGTCCATTTTATCAATATATCTTCAACATCAGAAAATGGTGTTTTTATATCTGGTTCTGCGGGGAGTATCTTGACCGGTGTCGTTTTCCAAAACGTCTCTCTGAACTTCACCAATGCAGACGGTGTTGATACTGAAACCTTCCATGATTATAGACCAGGTTGTCGGGGTCTTGTTCCTCACGCATCGTCGGGGTTATTCATGGAGTATGCATCAAACCTCACTTTCAGAGACGTCACACTACGATGGGCTCCTAATGTGAAATGGGACACACCATTCGAATTTACTCCGAAGACTGTGGGCAGATTAAATATTTTGAATGTTCTTTCAGATACAGACTCACATGGACTTCCTGTCTAATTGCTGACACCTTCTCCACACATTTATGTGTACAAAATGTATAGACAAGACCCTCCTTTGATTCTCTATTTCACCTCCACTTTTATCAAATGACATCCGTCTTCAGCGAATCTCAGGTGCATTTTCTACCTATTCTTTTCACCGTTTTCCCAAAGACTTTGTGGTAAAGTTTGCGATGGCGAATGTGTAACATAGCGTATCCGGTGAGGGCAATTTCAGAAAGCTGCCCACCATAGCTTTGATGGTTACGAAGAGGCCCAGTAACGAAAGACTCGTACTGGCTGATAGTTCTGTCCTCAAGATGTTGGTCCAAAGCGCTGTACAGGCTGTGGACTGACTGCAATTGAGCTTGATAATCAAGATTGCCTTTGGGGCACCCCTTGACTTGTTCAGTCCTAGACCAAATTCGTGCACTGATGTGAGTCAAAGTCGGTGGGTGAGTTTGACGATGGGAACTTGAATATGCAGTAAGCAGAAGACAGTACATCGTCTCAACTACTGCAGTCACCCCGTAGATATTGCGCAACCTCTTGAAGTGAATACATGCAAATGCTGTTTTTACATACAATTTATTGGATCTGAAGTTTCAGATTTTCGACCAAAAGGACTGAACGAAAAAAGTGAACTGGATAGGACTTGATTATACTTCTCTCTGTACTATTCTTACACTTCGTCGATTCGACTTCCTGTGCACGTCTGTGTGCCAGTTGACCAGATGTTCTAATGCTGTCTGCGGAACTTATCGTACTTAAGTAAATACTAAGAGAAGCCAAATTACTACTATAATCAAAGAAGAACGGAGCGGAAAGACCCAAAACGAGGATGCCATTGGTACAATACTTGTATGGGAAACGTGATGGAAGCAGACACTCATGTTCGTGTCCCAGGTGAAACAATGGAAGCTTCGATCCCTGTTCTTGGTGCTGGAAATAAGGCATTACAGCAGATGAAGGAAAGTATCTGCCGCAATAGTTTCAAGATGGGATACTTCTGCCACTTGTATAACTAAAAGTAGATAATTATCACAAACACATCAATGATGTCATGTAGCATGATAGTTTATATATTTCAACAGTGAATGTAATCTACGATGTAAATAAACAAAATGTAAGTTATCTTTCAAAATTGAATTACTCTTTAACCTAGTATAGTAATATCTCCTACATATATAGAATTATGGGTGTCAAAATTGATATATAGACTACAGGTTGAACTTTCTGTATATCATTATTTGTTTTCTATAATCTTGTACATCTAAAAAGATATTTTATTACTAATATTGAAATGTAAGTAACGTTTTGATATAATTTGTGTATCAAAATGTGAAGTCACATCATTCCATAATTTAACACTAAAAATGAGTAGATAATTCATGTGAATATTTTTTGAACTACTAATAGTATCTAAAATTCACGTTACCTTGGAGATTATAGAAGTAAAAATATGAATCGATACTCAATAAATATGCTGATGTTGTGTAGACATGATTCCATTATGTATACAAAAGAGTTATGCTACGTAAATAAAGATGTTTCTAGAATGTAAATGATTTTGCAAATCACATTGTTATTTACAAGTTGCAATAAGATATTTCTTATGAAAAATGTACAAATGTAATATAACATCTAATTAATTAAGTACGAATATACTCACAAATTCTTGCAACCATATAAAAACTATGTAAATGAAGTACCTTATGGTAAATCTAAGATATCGTCGATCTTCACAAAACATTGACATTATGGTCACAATATGTTTTTCCAAAACTAATATTACTCTTGATTTTCACGCTGAATGCTCTAGTGAAAATACTCTGTGGACAAGATATGATTCACCAAAAGTAATGAATGTTCTCGATCCATGGTCTAAGACCTCCAGTACAATTTGGTGTCACACACATGGTTAAAAAAAAATTTAGGAGTTTCTAGCTCCTTCATAGAAACTAATCACATACAAGAGTTTGGAGTCACTGTCGCTAGTTATTTTGAAAAAATAATATGGATGAATGAGTCCTGCCACGTGTAAGTGTCTAAACAAATCCAAAATGCAATGTAAACCAGCTTGTTCAGTTCCTTAATTAAATAGTTTTTTTTTTTGGTGTCAAATACTATATTCTCTTAAAGCGAGAACCTATCCAGAAACTAGATAGAAACCAAGAAAGTCTACAATTGCTTGCACTGCATGGTTTACATGAGGCTAACAATGATCTTCCTACGTACATCTTCCTAGTTTGCTTCATCTAGGTTACTTCTTGAAGCGAAATTCTTTGAAATCGATAATTTAACGTTGTTTTACATCCTCAAATTACCTGAGATGACTAACTCCAAAGTTCATACAAGTCATGGATCGAATAGAGAAGTTCAATAATCGGAACTGAATTTTCGCGAGGATGCCTTGGCATACAACCATAATAGAATGTATCATGCGGGTGAATTTCGTCGCCGTCGCTGTGCCGTGTGGTGTATGTTTCACAGTCGAGTGACGACGGGCGCTGTGTTGCGGTTGGCCACAGACCAATCTGCACGCTGCGTTTCACTAATTAGTGGAATTAACTCCATTTCCGTCGACGCAAGCAGTGGAGCAGAGCCCAACATTGACTGCCTATATTCATGTCACATGGGTGTCGGGTAACATTCTTTTTCCCCGGGTGGGTACGAGTAACGCTAAGGCAGTGGTTCCCAAAATTCAACCAAGAAGTGGCTCATCTTGAGTGACATGATTGGGCACAGGTAATAATATGGGTGGGAATGAGTGGGTTGATCACTGCTGATGGTTATGTTCTTGTCTTAGTGCAAATTTGAAGTCAGATGTTGGCCTCTGCAGTGGAATCTTGTGATGTGCGTGTTGACAAATAAGATTGGGGAGTTTACTCTTCACATTTGTTTCTGACCTAATCTGTATGTGCCTTTGTTATTTCGTTAAGTTGTCATTGTCTATTGGATTGATGTGACATCGAATCTGCGGTGGACAGTTCCAATTCGGGCTGGCCCATCTCATGCACTTCGACCGTTTTGAGGATGTCTCTACGTCCTTACTGGACTCCAAACCGAACCATCGTGCGGTTCTCGTGGGATTTAGACTGTAAAGTTAAATAGAGGTGGTCGTCACTTGGATGCTTCACACGGGAAACCTAACAGTGCTGGGTAATAACAGGGCAGTATGTTCATTTTCACCTGCCTCGGGCGCGGCGCGAAGGGAGCCCAGATTGGTTCCGAGTTTACAAACGCACTACTCGGCGATTGATCAGTCGGATGCAGAAGCTTTACACATAAGTTGAATCTCCGGATCACTGTTGTGTACTTCAAAGAGGAAAGTAAAATTAACACGAATTTGATGTAGCTAACCGGCACCCACTATGAAAACAAGGACCTGTGCATTTTTGAACTGGAATGCCCGCAACCAGAATCATCTGGGCAGGCTGAAGTTCCAGAAAAGCCCTATCGAGTTGGTCGTTCGTCGAATTCGAGCCAGGCGCAGGGGCATCCGTGAGAAAACATAATCACTTATCACAACCTCAGCCTGGGAAAAATAAGCTACCGATGGTTCTTCTGGATGATAGATGTCAAACGGCGGTGCCCATGCGTAACAAGGTGCTGCGTTCGTCAATTTCGTGCCTAGCTCGTATGAATCTGTCAGAAGGAGCACAATCCTTGACAACGACCTAAACACTGCGAAGCTATGCCACGCGAGAAGTTCTTCTGGATGAAGGATCAGAACAGGCGGTGTCCATGCGTAACAAGGTGCTGCGGACACCTCTCTCGCAAGCGCGAGAATAAGCCATTCATCATATTTAAAAACCAGAAGAATCTACTCTGCAAGGGTAGATTCAGCGTTTATATAGTTCGGTCTCAGAAAAGTGTCGACTGCCCTTTGTTCATGGGTTTAAGGCTATGGGGTTGCTGGGAGAAATGAATGTTAGGGTTCCGGGCTTCGGCACAGGGAACTACTTTCATGTCGCTCTTTCTTGTATGACTAATGACGTGGGGACTCGGGAAAGTCGCTCCAAGTTAACCGAATTTTAATCTCCCTATATTTCCAAACTTCAATGAGGTTCAATTTTTTCCCGGATTTCAATTCCACCACATATATTAAAATTCTGTATTGCAATGAACATGCAATGTTGCTTTGTGAAAGAAAGTAAGTAAATATAAATATATACTTACTTTGACAAAGCAACATTGATCTATCTAGATATATTTAATACAAATATATCTAGATTTTTAATATTTAAGTGAATATCATTAGTATGTGTACATTGAAAAGAATTGTATCAGGTATTATTTAGATTTTTTTAAAAACTCTCAAAAGATTGAATGTTGTATAAATAATTTAAATCTTTCAATTTTAGTTTTTCATTATACATATTGTACATATATGATTATAAACATAAAATTACAGATAATAAAATTTTATAAGATTTTTAATTATTAAAATATTCTGAACATTTTAGTTTTAGAAATTTGAAATTTTTTCATAAAACTTTTTGCTGAATCAAGAAATTTACAATATCATAAACTCAAATTCAATATTCTATTCATGATACGTAGATTATCATCAAAATATATTGGAAACTGTAAATTGATTAATTTTGTTTTGTTTTCCATATCCAAGTCAATAGATAAATTTATTCTTTGTAATGATATATTATAGATTATAACTCATAAATAACCAATTATAAAGTCCAATTAAAATCAAATTATCTTTAAACATATTTTATTATTTCATCAAAATATCATATATAAAATATTCCAAAATTGAATCTTGCATTACACATTCAATTTTTGTTCAAATAAAAATAAGCGTCTAAAAATTCAAAAATTACAATCTAATCAAAAATAAAATTACAATTTTACATATTTGATTGAGGCTTTAAGAAAATATTTATAAATAGTAATCTTGTGATAAATGATTGAATAGAATAATTTTTTATACATAATAGTATATATTTATAATTATGATGCATATAATTGCAATGATCCTAAATTTGAAGTAAATTTTTTGTAGATTTATTTATTTTAATTGCTACATGTATAAATTTTTCTTAGATTTACTCTTTGATAATATGTTTTTAAGAAAATACATATTTAGTTCTATATATAATTCTATTTTTGACAAACTATCTGAATCTTATGAAAATTTGTTAAACTTATTAGGCTGAAATGTGTAACATATCATGAATATGTTTAAAGAGTCAAACTAAATCATTTAAACTATACTTTGAAAATGTGTACTAACACATTTTAAATAAGTTAACACAAGTGTACCTCATTACATTTGGTTAAGGGTAGATGATATATAGGAACTGAAAAAAAAATTTAATTTATGATAAAGTTATCAAACATTAAAATTAAAATAATAAATATAATCATGAAAGAATAAAGAAATATCTTATTTTTATGGACATCAATAATGTTCAAAAATAGTCAAATAAAGATAGAATAACGTTCTAATCAATCAAAATATTTGAATTCAAATTACTTGATTATAATTAATTATAGTAAAAATAATAAGTGTAAGTTATGATCAACTTTTTTTTGAAAAAGTAAAATACATTTTTTAGAAAAAAATTCAATTTTTTTGATTTTTTGATTTTTTTT